GGAGGGAGAGTGAGAGAGAGAGAGAGAGAGAGAGAGAGAGAGAGAGAGAGAAACATCGGCGCGAAAGGGACACACCGAGTGGCCGCCACCCACACGACCAACCAGGGCCAGGGACAAACCGCAACCGAGGCACACGCCCCTAGCGGGAACCGAACCCGGGTCTCTCCGGACCGCAGGCCCACGCTCCAACCGCTGAGCCAAACCGGCTAGGGCTCTAATTCTTATTTATGTTCTTCATGTCTTGTAGATTGTTCTTATGCCCTTTAGTCTGTTTGGGTCTTTTTTTTCCTTCTGTTTTTGAGCACTTGTTCTAGCATGCTTTCATTTTCTGTAAGGGACGTGTTCTGCTACTCGTTATCTTTACAGTGATGTTGTAAGGGACTTGATCGTGATACTCTTTTTGCTTATTTATATGTGACATTGGTTCTTTGAGTGTTTAGATATCGGCTTAGTTTCCTCGCGCGTGTGTGTGTACACGTGTGTGCTACGAAACACAGCTGCTGCTTGCTGACTTCCATCTGCCCTTTGTACACTTTCCCCTGGGTCTTCTCTGCACGGTGTTCTTGCCCCCTCACCTGTGGTTCCCTGCCAGCAGCGCCTCCCTCCTGTGTGGGCCCCATGCTGGGGCACCTGCAGGTGCCACACTGTTCCGTGGGGTTGGCTGCACCGCAGGCTCCTCGTTCCCGCCCACTGTTGGAGTGGGCAGAGTTCCTCCCAGTTCCAGCTGCTGCTCCCAGGTTGTCCTGCTGTTCTTTCCAGTGAATACTGGTTATTTGGGGGGTCTCGGGTCTCAGGTGTCTGACACGTGTGGCTTTCCTCCCGTGTAACCTGGGGGACACACGAGTCTCACAGTTGCTTGCTTGGCCCCGCCTGCTTGCATGCTGCACTGGGTGGGTTTTGGAATAACCCTCTGCCATAGTGGAGGGCGATGGTTGTGCAGTGGAGGTTAGCAGTCTGCTGAAACCCAGGTGACAGTAAGACCACGGTGGAGGCATAGGGAAGGGGAGTGTGGACTAGTGAGCCTCTGAGGCTTTGGCCACAACCCTGCCCTGGTGTTCACATTTGAGGCTGAGCGAGGCCCTCAGCCCTGGCTGCTGTCAGGGTCACTGGGGGCGTAGAGCAAATGCCCATCATCTCCCTTCCTCCAGTGTTTTTAATGGGTGTGAGGTAGGGGTTCAGACACCAGCAGGCATTTTTGAAACCTCCCCAGTGACACTTCTCGGCAGCTGGGGTTGGGAACCACAGGCCACTGGGCCTTCGTAAGATGAACTTCAGGGAGCAGGAGTCAGCAGGTTCCGGGGCCTGCTGAGCGCTGGAGTAGGGGTCAAGGCCACACCCACACGCACAGTGTAGATGCAGAGTGGGGCTTGGCCTGCCTCTGCCAGGGAGGAGAGACAGCAAAGGAACGCCCCCTCCACGGCCCCTGGGAGGAGAGACGGCAAAGGAACGCCCCCTCCACGGCCCCTGGGAGGAGACACGGCAAAGGAACGCCCCCTCCACGGCCCCTGGGAGGAGAGACGGCAAAGGAACGCCCCCTCCACGGCCCCTGGGAGGAGAGGCAGCAAAGGAACACCTTGTCCACGGCCCCTGGGAGGAGAGGCAGCAAAGGAATGCCCCGGGGCATTTAGGGTTTTTGTTTGTTTTTGCGGTGACCTGGGTTTATAACGTTACATGAGTTTCGAGTGCACACCAGGGTAATTTGGCCTCTGTATACACTACAGTGTGTGCATCAGTCCCCGTACAGTGGACCCCTTCACCAGTTCGCCCTACCTCTACCCCTCTCCCTCTGGTAACTGCATCTGAGTTTCTTTTTTTCTTTATTGATATGAGAGAGAGGAAGGGAGAGGGAGAGAGAGAGAGATAGAAACATTGATGAGAGAGAACATCGATTGGCCGCCTGCTGCATGCCCCCCACTGGGCAATTTGGCCCACAACCTGGGCATGTGCCCTGACCGGGAATTGAACCAGTGACCTCTTGGTGCATGGGTCGACGCTCAACCACTGAGCCACACAGGCCGGGCTGTTTTCTTTTTCAGAAACATTCCATGTATGAGTGAAATGGTACAGTATTTGTCTTTCTTCATCAGACTTAGTTCACTTATCATAATACCCTCAGGGTCTGTTTATGTTGTCACAAATCGCAAAGTTTTGTCTTTTTTTTTTTTTTTCATCCGCACCTGAGGACTTTTTTTTTTTTTTTCATTTATCTTCAGATGTTTTGTTTTGTTTATCCTCACCCAAGGACATTTTTGCATTTTTATTTTCAGATAGACTGAGAGGGAGAGAGGGAGGAAGAGAGAGAGAGAAACATTGATGTGAGACACATAGACTGGTTGCCACCCACACGACCCCAACTGGCGCTGGGGACAAACTGCAACCAAGGTACATGTCTTTAGTGGGAACCGAACCTGGACTCTCTGGTCCACAGGCCGACGCTCTAACCGTTGAGCCAAACTGGCCAGGGCAAGTTTGGTCTTTTTGTTTTGTTTTTGTTTTTTTAATTAATTTATTTTTGTTACAGATGTTTCTCCTTTTCCCCTCACTGATTCCCCCTGCCCCTCCCTCCCCGCCCCGTCCCCAGCTTTGTTGCCATGTCCATTGTTCCTGCACACATGCATATAAGTTCTGTGGTTTATCTCTCCCCCCCACCCCCTCTTCTGGGGATTGTCAGTCTGTATACTACAAAGCCACTGTAATCAAAACAGCCTGGTACTGGCACAAGAACAGGCAGATAGATCAATGGAACAGTATAGAAAACCCAGAAATGGACCCAAGGCAATATGCTCAGTTAATATTTGACAAAGGGGGCAAGAGCATACAGTGGAGTAAAGACAGCCTCTTTAATAAATAGTGCTGGGAAAATTGGACAGTTACATGGAAATAAATGAAACTAGACCATCAACTTACACCATACACAAGAATAAACTCAAAATGGATAAAAGACTTAAGTGTGACTCATAAATCCATAAAAATTCTAGAAGAAAATGTAGGTAACAAAATTTCAGACATACGAGCAGAATTTTCACTGATACATCACCTAAGGCAACAGAAACAAAGGGGAAAATGAACACATGGGACTACATCAACTTAAAAGCTTCTGCACAGCAAAAGAAACAGCCACCAAAATGGAAAGGCTACCCACTGTATGGGAGAGCATAATTGCCAATGATATATCAGATAAGGGGTTAATTTCCAAGTTTGGTCTTTTTTAATCAGGCTGTTTTATTGTTAGTTGTGTGAGGCTTTTTTATATATTTTTGGTATTAACCTCCTAAAATATATAATACTTGCAAATACCTTTTTTCGTTCAGTAGATTTCATTTTATTGGTGGCTTCCTCTGCCGTGAATATGCTTTTCAGTTTGATGTTGTTCATTTATTCATTTTTCTTTTTGTTTCCCTTGCTATTAGATACACAGAAACATCGCTAGGACCATCATCAAGATTATTACTGCCTCTGTTTTCTTCTGTGTGTTTTATGGTTTCAGGTCTTACATTCAAGTCTTTAATCCATTTTTAGTTAATTTTGGTTTGGTGTGTGGTGTAAGGTAGTGGTCTAATGTCCTTCTGCTTCTGTGTCTGTAACTGTTTTTTCTGAACATTTAGTATGAATTGGATTGTACTAGATATGGTCTTTATGATTGGCTTCTTTCACTCAGCATAACGTTTTCAAGGGTCATCTGTTTCATAGCATGTATTATAGTACTTGGGTTCTTTTTATTGCCAGTGCTATTCCATTGTAATCATACACCACATTTTATCCATTCATCAGCTGAGGGACATCTGACTTGTTTCTGTTTTTGGCTGTTGTCAGTGCTGCTGTAGGAGCGTGTGGTGTAAGTCTGCGGACGGATGCGTCCATTGTCCTCGAGTGTATGGGAGTGGGATTGCTGGTGTTTATTCTTTCCTAAGGAGAGTGTTCTCCTTTTTTCTTTTGCCACTTGAGTAGGCTTTGGGGTGGGAGTGAAGGGCGTGACATGCACCCAGTCCGTGGTGAACCCTGTCTCCTGTGTGGACTGCACAGCCTTTGTCCTCGGGGCTGCAGGGCGGAGGGCACCGTAGGAACATGGAAGACTCTGGCCTGGTGACTGGAGCCTGGGGAGCCGACTTTCCTTAGACTGCTCTGCACGCTTACTCCCTGCCTTGGGGACGGTGGGGTTTCTTTCAGTTAGATCATTTTTTAATAACTTGGAAACATTTGGAATTTTTCTGTACAGGGCTGTCCATAGTCCTTGTGGTAAAGATTTTCAGTTCATTTAGGAGTATAAAAATATATTTTAAAATGCTTGGTATGACTTAATATATTCTTGTTGTGCACAAAGTGAATAAAACAATGTAGTGTACTACTTCTAAAGAGATTTTACATGATTGAAGGGAAGTGAAGTACATCTGCCTTTTCACAGCTGCAGGGATGTTGTGTGTCAAGTGGTAGCACCGTGTGTGGTTCCGCCTGCTCTGTGGTGATCACACTGGGCACGGCCAGCCCTTCCCCCTCTGATGATCCAAAATACACTCGGACTTTCAAAATGTATTTCAGTTCTTTTTTTTTTTTTTTAATCCTCACCCGAGGACATTTTTCCATTTTTTGTACAGATAGAGTGGGAGGGAGAGAGAGGGAAACATCGATGTGAAGGGACACATCGAGTAGCTGCCACCCGCACGACCAACCAGGGCCGGGGACAAACTGCAACCGAGGTACGCGCCCTTAGCAGGAACCGAACCCGGGTCTCTCCGGACCGCAGGCGGACGCTCCAACCGCTGAGCCAAACCGGCCAGGGCTGTATTTCAGTTCTTAAAGAACATTCGTGTGATTGGGAATTTCTACTGTTCTCTTACACCATTTAATCTGTTAGAGCGTGCATTCTCGTGTGACCGGACAGGCAGTGAGTGTGGGTCCCGGAGGTGGGAAGATTGTCGTCGTTACAGTTTCATGTTTGCAGTGTGACGTAATGCATGGTTATTTTTCTTAATAGTGACATTTTACTGTGATTACCTCTCTAGGCTCCTGGGTTTGGATTTGGAATCGCGATATCTGGGGGAAGAGATAACCCCCATTTTCAGAGTGGTGAGACCTCCATCGTGATCTCAGATGTGCTGAAAGGGGGACCAGCCGAGGGGCAGCTGCAGTAAGTGGGTCTCTGGGCGTCTGGGGCGCGAGTGCTGGTGCTTCGGATGAACGTGTGTCTCCCTCATCTCCAGCACAGGGGAAAGGGAGGGCACCTGCCTCAAGCAGAAGGTGCTGTAAAAATAAAGAGAGCGGAAGGAAACCTCTACTCACTTTCGGGTAGAATCTAGTCTTTGGGAACCTCTCACCCTGAGGCTTGCGCTTATTGTTCAGTAAGATGACCACGGAGTACAATCAGGAGATTGGAAAGACGAAGTTATTTGTTTTTTGAAAGTAGGATAACTTTTTCCAGCTGTGTGACATAGTCTCACTGATGCCTTGTACTTTGGGTGCTGTGGTACCTGCTCAGTCCTTGGGGAAGCGTTGTGTCGGTGGTTGTATCGTTGATCTGAAGACACATAAATTAACCAGTCCATAATTACAATATGTTTTAGAAGTACTCGTCTTGAAAATACCTTCACAGACTTGTCTGTTTTTGTCTAACCTGTGGTTTTGTGACTTCCTTCCGTAGGGAAAATGACCGTGTGGCGATGGTCAACGGGGTTTCGATGGATAACGTTGAACATGCCTTTGCTGTCCAGCAGCTGAGGAAGAGTGGGAAGAACGCAAAAATCGTAAGTGTCTTTCATCCTCAGTTTGGCGAAGGTACCGGCTCTGCGGTTGGTACATTTCTGGTGCTTGAATGCATCCTCTCTCTCTGAGAAAATGAGATGTGGAACAGTGTTCTGGAGTTAGTTTCTTTGTGAAAGTTTTCTTCTGATACCAGCGTGCTTCTCTTCCCAAGGTGCAGAGATCAGGGCTTTCGCCGTTGAAAAGGCGGAGGGAGGGTGGTTGAATGGTCGCTCACTCTTTATGGCTTAAGGTTGCCTTCTCTTTAGGTACTTACATGGGGTGGGGCAAAGCAGGTTACCGTTGTAAAGAACACAATAATTAATAATACAAGAATAAACTCCGTTTTGCATACTCATAACTGTAAATCTACTTTTGCCCTCCACCTTGTATGGTCCTGTTTTGTTTAAGGATTGGCTTTTTTTTTCCAATCCTCACTGGAGGATTTTTTTTTTCCTATTTATCACCAGAGTGGGAGGGAGAGAGAGGGCGAGAAAGGGAGAGAGAAACATCGACGTGAGAGGGACACATCACCTGGTTGCCTCCCACACAGCCCTGACCAGGGCCAGGACGAACCACAACCGAGGTACTTGCCCCTGACCCGAATCAAACCCAAGACTCGTTGGTCTGCGGGCCGACGCTCTGCTGCCAAGCCAAAGTGGCCAGGGCGAAGGATTGGCTTTTAATGGGCAAGCTTTCCGTTACCCCTTGAGCACGCACGTCCTCGCTGCTGTGAGGAGAGAGAACGGGTGAGCCGGTCCTTGCAGTGTTCAGTCTGATGTCAGTGTTTCCGCACACACGCAGGCTCTGCTACATGCATCTCCGTGCGAGAATTCCCTTTTTTGTTAAGTGAGGGAAAATATGTTCAACTAACTCTTGATAACTGGCCTCCGGACGCAGTCCCGCTGGGTGACCGTGGCGCAGAAGGCCCGCAGTGGGAACGTCCTGCTCGGACTGCCCCGCGCTTCGGAAGGTCCTAGGCGGGTCTTCACCAGGAGAGCAGGAGACTCAGCGCCGTCAGGTGCATTCGTTAGCCACTGGTCGTACCTGCTCGTCACATCTTTCTTACGCAGTCACTTTCATTAATATGGCACAGAAAAATGCAGTTCTCCCTTTCTCTCAGGAACCGGAGCCTCCTATGATCTGAAAACCAATCAGCTTGTTTTACGATCTTTCTGTAGACCATTCGGAGGAAGAAGAAGGTTCAGATCCCTGTCAGCCGTCCGGATCCTGAACCCGCGTCTGAGAACGAGGAAGACAGCTGCGATGAGGAAGTCCATGACGCCAGAGGCAGCCGTGGGGGCCTGGCCAGCAGGAGGAGCGAGAAGAGTTGGGCGAGGGACCGAAGCGCGAGCAGGGAGAGGAGTTTGTCCCCGCGGTCCGACAGGCGGTCTGTGGGCTCTGGCCAGCCTGCCAAGCCCACCAAAGTCACATTGGTGAAGTCCCGGAAAAATGAAGGTATTCTCTACCAGCCTGTGTATCGTGTCCACGTGAAAAATCCAGAGTGATTTCCTCGAGGGCAAACTGCCACCTCTTCCCGTCCTTGCCTTTGCTGCCTGGCTCTGCCTCCTGTCCCGCTGCCCGCACGTCGGCGGTCACGGCAGCAGAGGATGGCTGTCTTCTCCCTGGTCATCTTGCCGTGGCAGCTCGCACGCCAGCCGAGTTGTCCACAGCTGGAGTTTGGATTTCTTGGGATTAGAACAGCCAAATATAAATGCTACTAAGAAATGTCACACCGTCCCCAGGTTGAAGTTCGGTGTTTTTCTTAGCTGTCAGGATGAGTCGTAGCATAACCATGGGGAGAAATCTTGGATATTGGGGGGTGAAGGTCAGACAGTCATTTTAAATGGAGAGATTGAAGGGATGGAGCCCCTCAAAGGACATGTCTCTGTAGTACGGGTCTTTAAAAATTGCAACTGAACCAGCTGCCTCCCCTCACTTCGTCACATTCGATAGAAGTGAATCGACTGGCCGCTTCCTGCTGCGGCTGTGTCTCCAGAGCAGGAGAGCTGACGACGGGGCGTCTTGGTAGAAAGGTGAGGGGGAGAACACACGAGGCTCACTGTGGTCTGCTCTACCCCAACCTGACCCCTCTCTTCCCAGGGGACTTCCAGTCGCTCTTCTCTGTGACACACAGTGTCTAGAGCAGAGTCGACCGCCTAGATCCCCTGCAAAGTCACTTTCCTTTCTCACCCCGATTCTGTTCCTACTTGTGAGTATTCTGTGTATTTGTCTTAAGTTAAACTGTAACTGATGTAACTTTTAGAAGTTCAAGTAGCAGTTCTTTTAACTTACAGTAGAAAGTTTTCTATTTCCCATCTTGTTTTTTAAATTTTTTTTTAATGCAGTGGGTTTTAAGAGTCCCTTTCCTGCCTTCTGACAGAATCAGGAGTAATCCTGTTCCTGTTGGCATTATGTTGTAGTCATTGTTCTCGTTTTGTATTGTTTTTTTATAAAGTTTATTTTATTATTTATCCTCACCTGAGGACATTTTTTGCATTTATCTTCAGATACAGCGTGAGGGAGAGAGGGCGGAAGAGAAAGAGAAACATTGATGTGAAAGAGACATATCAACTGGTTGCTACCCACACGACCCCACCCGGGGCGGGGGACAAACAGCAACCAAGGTACATGCCCTAAGCGGGAACCGAACCCAGGACTCTCTGGTCCGCAGGCTGACGCTCTAACCACTGAGCCAAACCGGCCAGGGCTTGTTTGTTTTTTTTAATAATAAAAAAAAAATCTACAGCTTTGTAGACCTCTGGACAGTTTTCTGGACTCTCTTGATAACTTCAACTCTGACCAGCTCCCTCACCCATGGATACAGTTACTGTTGCCTTGTGCCTTGACACTTGGTTGTGAAAGGAAAGGAGTAGCATTTTAAACTCCAGCCCACATCCACCTGGCTACTTGCAAGCCTTTGTGTGCACTAATACCCACCCAGAAGCATTGGGTAAGGAAAGCTCTTGGGTCTGTTTCTGCAGCGTCTCAGGTGTGGAGGATCCAAAAGACATACTTTTGCTCTAGGAACTTGGGAAGTCACAAACAGCATGCTTGCTGACACAGCTCATCTCTGAAGTGGTCAGCCTTTCCAGAGTGTTCTCAGACCTCAGCCAGTTTGCTTTTTGGAATTCTATTCAAGCTTCTGAGAAGCTGGTGTGTCAGTACAACATGGTCAGAAAGAAGTGGTCTTCTCGTCGGAGCCTTGTCTCGTTCAGGATATTGGGAACACAGTGTGTCAGTCTAGTGTCTGAGCCACACCGCGCTCTTGCTTTTGCAGAGAAGTGCAGACTTTCTGGTGACTGAAGAAAATGCTGTCTTTGCAGGGTGACCAAGAATAATCTCTTGTTACTATGTTTTAAAACTCTCTATGCAGTGATTAGTAGTCTCATACTTTTAAGCTCTATTTAAATGCTTACGATTTTACACTAAAGACATTTAAATATTTTATTTCAGAATATGGTCTTCGATTGGCCAGCCATATATTTGTAAAGGAAATTTCACAAGATAGTTTGGCAGCGAGAGATGGCAACATTCAAGAAGGCGATGTTGTGTTAAAGGTATGCGCTCATTCTCGCATTTAATGAACTGGAACAGAACACAAGTTCCAGTGGGACCACATGGCTTCTGCTCACGTTGGAAACCATATTCCAAAGAGAATTAAAATTCAGTGTTTGGGGAGGGCTGGATAGTCTTGTCAATGTCCATTTTCATATGTCAACCCTAGGGTCACCCTGAGAATTAGTCGCTACAAATTTGTGTCATTCACTAGCAAGAGCTACTTTGTAGGTAGATATGTTTCTTTTTGTACAATAAATGGTTTTGACAACTGCTCTGGATATTATTGAAGTGCTTATCTTGGTAATTTGCTCACAAGTGATGGAAAGTGACAGGCTCTTGCGGAGGGGCAGGGGATGCTGATTTGGGTTTTCTGACAGTAACAGTGCAGTAAAGGTTTCATTGTTTCAGGAAGGAGGACTCTGATGGTCTACCAGAGTATGGAGACTGTTTGGGGTTTCACAGCAAGCTGGGGAGTAGTGTAGATATTCCTATTCAAAATAGACTCATGTTGACATTGGTACTTGTGCCGTTCACTTTCAACCTGAGTTTCTTCTCCATTGCAGATAAATGGCACCGTGACAGAGAACATGTCACTGACTGATGCCAAGACGCTGATAGAAAGATCCAAAGGCAAGTTGAAGATGGTCGTCCAGAGAGACGAGCGGGCCACGCTGCTGAACGTGCCCGACCTGTCGGACAGCCTGCACTCTGCTGACGCCTCTGAGCGGGATGGTGAGGGCCGCACTGTGACCTGTCTTAAAGTACTAGGGGGAGGTGACAGGTTTGAGCGAAATCATTTTGTGCAAGCCAGCCACTTTCAGAATCTAAGAATCACAAATACATACATATATACATACATATATATGTTATACACACACACGGTGAATTTTAATTTTTCCAGTTTTATTGAGAAATAATTAACATACATCGATGTGTAAGTTTAAGGTATGCGGCTTGGTGATTTGAGTTACATGTGTTGTGAAATGATGACCACAGTGATGTGGGATTTGTGTGTAAGAGTCCACATGTAAGTGAGGTCATACAGTGTTTGTCTTGTGGACTTATTTCACGGAGCATAATGCCTTCAAGGGCCATCCGTGTTGTCACTGTGTGTTTTCTCCTGTGGACAGCACACCACTGTGGATCAGCAGCTGCTTCAGTTACTGCTGAAGTCAACCATTTCCTGTGAAGTTATATTTAGTAGCTGATCTCCATTATCACTGGAGGCCCTTACTGTTTACTCATTTCATGGAAAAATACATGGCACTGTTTTATTTGACAGATATTTCAGAAATTCAGTCACTGGCCTCAGATCATTCTGGCCGGTCACATGACAGGCCTCCCCGCCACAGCCGGTCTCGATCTCCCGACCAGCGGTCAGAGCCTTCTGATCACCCCAGACATTCTCCACAGCAGCCCAGCAACGGCAGGTAATTACACGTCTGGTTCAGAACAGGCTCGTAGGTGTGCTGCATGCGTGTTGCCAGTGCTGCTCCCAAAGAAAACCGACCTTCTTCTGATTACTCAAGGTTATGCCTGTTTTTCTTTACCGATTTAGGTATTTCTTACCCCAAAACACAGATCAATCGAGCTTTTTTTTAAAGGCTTAGATAGTGAATATTTCAGGCATGTGAGCCACGCAGTCTCTTGTTGCAAAAGTAACCGTAGACCAAATGTGAATGAATAGTCATGGCTGCATTCCAATAAAACTTTATAAAAACAGCTGGGCCACTGCATTAGAAGGCGCTAACAGGCTTACATACTCTAATGCCTGTGTGAAAAAACAAAGTTTTAATCTGAATTCTAGAATACTGTAAAGTACGTAAGTGACTTGCTTCCTAATTCATTAGCAGCACAGCTCTGGATCTGAGTGTTACTGAAGGACACCTCCATCCTTTGGTAGATAACAGAAATGCACTAAGAAGACCGTTGATTTTTCTAAGATTAATCGGATGAAAAATGTAATGGAATGACATGAGTCCCACCCTCTGACATGTTATTAAGTCATAACAGTTGTGTTACAGGGAAGGAAGGGTTAGGCAGTACGGTATGAAAACAAGTCAGAGATGAAAATGTGAGCAAGAGCTGTGTGTGTAGCCAATGACAGGCTTTGGGGAGGACATTCAAATTAAAGGATTGTAATTGATTTTTAGCTATCAAGATGGTAGGAATCATTAATGACAGTCACACTTTAAATTTAGAAGGTATTTTTTAAGATATAGGAATGAAGAAGAAAAATGGAAATGTTTGCTTTTGGATCTTTTCAGTATGTCACAGAGTAACAGGAATCTATAGAACTATTAAACCTATGTCTTTCATTAATCTCATTCTCTTACAAATGGTTTTCACAACCATCTTCATGCTCACGATTTTCCATTTTACGAATGTACAGTCTCCGGAGCAGAGAGGAGGAGAGAGTCTCTAAACCTGGGACGGTCTCGACTCCTGTGAAGCATGCAGATGGCCACACACCTAAGACCGTGGAGGAAGTGACCGTGGAAAGAAATGAGAAGCAGGCACCCCCTGCTCCAGGTGAGCCTCGAGGACACTGGGTCCAGGAGCATCTGCACGCAGACTCAAGTATTTGTCGGCATCTACTGGAGGCGTAAAAGATGCTGTTGCTGTTGTTACTGTTACAACTACTACTCCCTCTGTTTGCATTTTCCTGTATTTGACTTTTAGCATTTCCTTTCTGGGTGGCAGGTTGGCATGGATCATCAGGCGCTCATGGATTTCATTTCTAGATAGTAATTATTCATGGTTAACAGCTACACACAATGAGTCAGGTGGTTCTCCAGCACTGCTCGTTAAACAGAAACATTAGCTTGGCTTAGGAAAATGGTGTGAGTTACTTGTTTATTGAACGCGTTTTCACAAACACTTTATAAAGTGTACCTTGAGGGCTGTGTGCGAGATCAGACCCAAGAATTTTGCAAAGTTCCGAGATCTGGTTGCTTGAAAGGCGTGGAGATTTGGGTTTTAATATCTGTTGGTTCCTTTTCTCAAATATTTTTGCTCTGCTTGTTTAGTGGTGGGAATGAGGGTATTTAAACTTTCTTTCTTTTAGAACCAAAGCCTGTGTATGCTCAAGTTGGACAGCCAGATGTGGATTTGCCTGTCAGCCCGGCTGATGGTGTCCTGCCTAATTCATCACATGAAGATGGGATTCTCCGGTAACACAGTTTTAACTTGTCTGTCCTCTCTCCCCGTCACTAAGCGTTATTTAAAGTGAGAGTTCAGTTGCAAACCATATGGCATATACTTTCAGAAAGAGTGTATACCATTCATGCTATGATTAGGGGTTTTAAAATTATCTTTGTGATAGAATCCGATACGAGAGAACAACAGAGGACTTTCTGGGGGTTTACTTTCTTCTCACCAGTGTCTCCTACTAGTTTTTAGGTCATGAATTAAAAAGTTAAAGAATTGTTTTCTCTTTAGACATCAGATTTTTCACAAGCTTTTTAATGCCCTAGCATTTCAAAAAAATCAGTGTTTCTCCATTTCTGCGCTATTGACATTTTGGCCAGATAGCCATTTATCGTGGTTTGTGCTGTGGCCTGTTGAGTAGCAACCCCCCACCCACACCCCGTGAACCTACTCTACAGTATTTAGCATCTCCGATTTTGCTCTTCCACACCTTTTATTACTTTATGTTCTGTAGTTGACAGGATTGAGAGGTAAATTGTATAACCAGATTTCAAGCCATCCTGATTGTCAGATTAGTTTCAGGGGCCTCTATGGTAAAGGGATGTGAGGTGGCACCAAGAGGCTGAGCCCGAGGCTGTCCTCGGCCTTGGTTCTCAGCAGCCAGGTTTCCCTGGAGGCAGGCTGCAGGCCACCACATCCACTTTTTGAGGCACCCCGTGTTAGAAGAGGACCCCAGAGGCCTGGAGTCGTAAGGACTTGGAGGGAGCCCTTCAGAGGGTTTGGAAGATGAGTCTGTAAGGATAAGCTCTTGGCACACTGGGAAAGTAGGGCAACCCCACAGCCGAGGGGTTCACATCCTTCGTGATTGAACACGGACGCCACCAGCCCTGGCAGTGAGTGACCTCACCTCACCTACAGGCCCTTAGGTTCACGTGTGGATAACGGGAAGCCAGGTGAGGACACCCGGCCTTGAATGCCATACCTCTCCCAAGCACTGGGGTGGTCGTCAGTTGGCGTGAAAGGACTAGACATCTGCCCTTTCCTCAGCTCATCCATTTCATTGCTTGATTTTTGTTTTTCCAGTTGGATGTTATTAGTTTCTAATAATTTAGTCATTGTTCCTTAGTGAATAAAAAGAAAAGGGACGTTTTCTACACTTCATGGCAAAAGAGGCAAAAGAATTGTGTGTCTTGGTTGTTTACGGACACCTGGAAGGGTGGTGGTAATTGTGTGTGATTGATAGTCAATTCCCAAGGGGAGTGTATAGTTCCAGCGGCTCCGGCCCAGCCACCTGCAGCGTCCTTGGCATTGGCTCCGACACCGCACAGACTGGAGGGCTGTGTGTGCACCGGCCCCCCCCCTTGGGGCTGACCAGAAGTGCTGAATGATGACGAGATGTTTATTTCAGAGGCAGAGGGGGTGACCTTCGTGACCACGGAGAGAGTCCACCAACTGAGTTGGTGTTCATGTTGTTAATCCTTACCCAAGGATGTTTTCCATTGAGTTTTAGAGAGAGTAGGGGACGTGTAGCGAGAAAGAGAAATATCGATGTGACAGAGACACATTGATTGGTTGCCTACTGCACCACCCCAACCGGGGCTGGGGATTGAACCTGCAACCCTTAGGTGTACAGGCCAACACTAACCACGGGGCCACAACAGCCAAGGCCCAATTGCAGAGTTTTAGATCCACTGTCCGTTGGCTGTAGAAATCAGAGTGTGTGGCTCCTACGTCCTGGTGTTGGGGAAATGGGTTGTAGTTTATGCTTCAACTTCTACCTGTCTGAAGCAGTACTTCCCAGTTGTCCAGTAGAGCTGCTGTGGTATGAGCTGGGGCAGTAAAAAATGGGCGGTTTGTTAGCCATTGGGAAGGCACCCTACCTGTAACCAAGACTTCGAGAGTTGGGAAAACATTATTTTTATTTTTATTTTTTTGTATTTTTTTTTTATTATTATTTTTTTCTTGGGAAAACATTATTTTTATAAAATGGTCTTAGAAAGTAGTATGTAAAGCAGTACTTGCATATTAAATTTGGATATTTTAAAACTAATTTTGTGCCCTGGCCGGTTTGGCTCAGCGGTTAGAGTGTCGGCCTGCGGTCCTGAGAGACCCGGGTTCGGTTCCCGCTAAGGGCATGTACCTCGGTTGCAGTTTGTCCCCGGCCCTGGTCGGTTGTGCGGGTGGCAGCCACTCGATGTGTTCCTTTCACATCGATGTTTCTCTCTCTCTCTCTGTTCCTCTCTCTCCCTCCCACTCTACCTGAACAAAAAATGGAAAAATGTCCTCCGGTGAGGATAAAAAAAAAAACTAATTTTGTTAATCAGAAAATGCTTTTAAATCTGATTTGGAGTTTTATCACTAAACTAAATTTTATTCAGTAAGTTAGTGGTGTGGGGGCATTTCAGACACGTTAGACTTTTATTTCATTCTGAGTATGGTTTTCATTATAGCTGTTGGTTGTAACTTTTCGAGCCTCTCCCAACTGTTTCAAACAAGGTGTTTGTCTCAACAGGCCCAGCATGAAGTTGGTAAAGTTCAGAAAAGGCGATAGCGTGGGCCTGCGGCTGGCTGGTGGCAATGATGTCGGAATATTTGTAGCTGGCGTCCTGGAAGACAGCCCTGCAGCCAAAGAAGGCTTGGAAGAGGGTGATCAGATCCTCAGGGTACGTCAGCGCGCTGACTCGCGTGGCTTAAAGCACTTAGAGCTCCAGCAGAAGGAGCCCAGCCTCACCAGCCTGCCAGGCTAAGCAAGTGTAGCCCACGGCACCGCCTCTTGCACCGAGGAGCCGTCCAGGGCGAGAGCCCATCGGGTCTGCCCACCCACTGGCTGCCGTGCTGTGTGTCCCCACAGGGCGATGCCTTGGTCTCTTAACCCTTGGTGCCCGTAGAGCCTATGAGACTAAGCAAGCCCAGATCCCTGTAACAGGCACCTGCCTCAGCTCAGCTGGCCTTCGGGCTGGCAAGGCTGCGTGAGCCGCAGCTACCAGTCGGCCAGTATCAGCTGTTGCTGTCCCGTGGAGTGGTCTCTGAGCAGGCCTCGGCTCCGGGGCCTGCTCCGCCCAGGGTGGCTCCTGCACAGGACGTGGGGCTCACTTCAGGCAGACGTGGGAGCTGCCTGGCTCTGCAGCGTCACACCTCCGGGCGCCAGGAAAGCCTGTGTAGATGCAGGCTGCCAGTGGGCTCTGCTTTCTGTCTTTTCCATGGAATGTGGCCAGGAGCACAGGAGTGTCTCTACCCGTCTCTTCTCTCCTCTTTTTAAAATACCGAACTCCTGGGAGCCGGGGCGTTTTCGTTAGAAGATCAGGTCTATCAAGTGTGAGTTTGCACAGAGCTCCTCCTCCTCATCCCCAGGTTGTGATGACCACCTGTGTGCAGGGGCGCCCCCCTGTCCTCCGCGCTCCTCCACTGTCTTGTTTCTCCCCCGCTTTCTCTCCGGGCAGTGCTGTCACCAGGCTGAGTAGCCTGGCTTCCACGGGACCCCTGCGAACTGAACCTGCACGGACATTGCAGACCCGATGTCCAGGGCAGCCCGCGTGTCCCTGTATTTCTTCGCCGTGCTTTGAAGGTCCTTCTTGAAAAACTTGGACCCCCCAACACGGCCATCTAGTCCCCCTCTCATCATTTGCGTTCTCTTCCTGTCCTTTTAAATGAGTCTTCTGAACTTGAGGGAGTCAGGGCATGCGTCATTTAAAGACATTTTTTCATTGTCATCATTTAAAGATATTTTTTCATTGTCAATTCTTGTTTTGGGTCATAAACGTAGTGTAAATCAACCGCTTTTAATGTGGGAAATTTCCAAAGAGGAAAAGAAGCCCATCTGCCTGTCACCCAGCGTGCAGAAGTTGGTGATGTTGGGACGAGCCCGTGCTGATCCTTGGGACGAGCCCGTGCTGATCCACTCCGTTCTGGCCGGAGTGGTTGGCGTGGCGGCCACCGTGCCGCCTCACGTCCCCCCGCCATGCACGTGCAGGGCCGTCTGCCTCTCGTGGCCCGTGGTTTCTCTGCAGAGTCTCGTGAAGCTGGGCTCTTTGCGTACCTTACAGAACTTGCCATTTAAAGTTTCAAAGCCAGAGATTTTCCAGTCATTACAGAGTTTTGGAATTAGAAGCGGTCTCAGTCTGAAATGGTTCGAGTTTCGCAGTGGGTGATCTCGCACGTCAGCATCATGGTGTCTCCTCTGAATGACCTCACACCCTCAGTACGCGCTTTCCACTTGTTTCAAGTTACAGTGCATTTTTCTCTCCAAAGTAAATTAAGTTTTTCCCGTTTAAAGATGTGATATGTCCAAGCTAGGTTAACTTTTTTTTTTAGGTTAACAGAATATTTGTTTCCTGTGTAGGTAAATATTTTTGTAATCTTAAAATATGGCCAAGAGTAATTTGTGAAATGCATTTTCACAGGTAAACAATGTCGACTTCACAAACATCATCAGAGAAGAAGCGGTCCTCTTCCTGCTCGACCTCCCTAAAGGAGAAGAGGTGACCATCCTGGCCCAGAAGAAGAAGGACGGTGAGATGCTGTCAGAAAATGAGGCTTCAGCAGGGATTGGATTCCAGTGTTCGAAGGAAATCACTCCAAGTTGAGGGATGAATGAAGGTGTTCCTCTCGCAGGGAGCTGATCATTTTAACTCGTTGGGGCTGCAGAGTCTGCTACGCAGTCTGATTTAAGGAGGGTGCTCGCCAGCCCGGGACAAGGCGCAGAACAATCCCATCTGCTTCCTTGCCATCAGAACCACACTGAAGTATACATAGGCAGCTTCTGAATTTTATACTGATGTTTTCTAGGGAGTGCTCTTTCTGTCTGTTAGCATTCATTCAATAGAATGCCTGATTTTCCCTGTGATACAACAGCTACACTGTTCATTTAGAACAGGGTTCCTGCCCTGGCCGGTTTGGCTCAGCGGTTAGAGCATCAGCCCGCGGACCAGAGTCCCAGGTTTGGTTCCCCCTCGGGGCACGTACCTTGGTTGTAGTTTGTCCCTGGCCCCGGTTGGGGTCGTGTGGGTGGCAACCACTCACTGTGCCTCTCTCACACAGATGTTTCTCTCTGACTCTTCCTCCCTCTCCTTCCACTCTATCTGAAGATAAATGCGAAAAAAAAAGAGGTCTTTGGCAAGGATAAAACAAAACAAAACAGGGTTCCTTTGGCACCATGGCCACTTGGGGTTGAAGAGTCCTTTGTTGGGGGTGCTGTTCTGTGCACTGGAGGACATTTAGCAGCCTCCCCGACCTCCACCACTAGATGCCAGTAGCCCCCACACTGCTCCCCGTGCCTACAGTTGCAATGATCAGAAATGTCTCAAGTATTGCCAAATAGCCCCTAGGGAGGCAGAATTGCCCTCATCTGAGAAAAACTCATATGAAAATGGAATCGCCATAGTGTTTGTGGTGAAATGAAATTAGATCTTGAAGGAGAAAGCTCGTGGGGCTCGGGCAAGTTGCTCGACCTACTTGTGCCCGAGTTTCCCTGCCTGCAAAGTAGAGGTGCGAAGAGTTCCCACTTCGTGAGTGAGGGTGCCATACAAGAGGCCTCGGCCAGGCCCTGGCCAGTTTGGCTCAGCGGCTGAGCGTCAGCCTGCAGATCAGAGAGTCCCGGGTTCGGTTCCCACTAGGGGCACATACCACAAAAATAAAAAAGTCGAGGCCTCACTACAGGGCCCAGCACTGGCAGGACTGTGCGTTTGGCGGGCACTGTCCTGTCTGTCATCACTAACATTATCAACAGCATCTTTACATCATATATTTGCTGCAGGTTAATTTCTGACCCCACTAGCTATTGATAATGTTTTGTCTTCACTCTTTCTAGTGTATCGTCGCATCGTGGAGTCAGATGTAGGAGATTCTTTCTACATTAGAACCCATTTTGAATATGAGAAGGAATCTCCCTATGGACTAAGTTTTAACAAAGGAGAGGTGTTCCGTGTGGTGGATACTTTGTACAATGGAAAACTGGGCTCCTGGCTTGCTATTCGAATCGGCAAAAATCACAAGGAGGTAGAACGAGGCATCATCCCCAATAAGAACAGGTATGGGTGTTTGGCTCCTTCTCAGGACAGGTTAAGTAATGACAGAAGATTTCAATCCCACTGGGAAATTTTGGTAATGTAAAGAATTAGTTTGCATTGTTTTCATCCTATTTATAATTGACTTGGTTGTGCAAACTCTCCTTGGTTTTAGTTTAACCGTTACGATGTAAGCTTTGTGTGAGATTCTATCCAGAATTTGGACATTGTGTTCATTGTGAGTCTTTTTCCATTTCGTGGTTTTAAAATGCCCTTATTTTATTTGTATCCTCTCTTGTCCAGAGCTGAGCAGTTAGCCAGTGTACAGTACACGCTTCCAAAAACAGCAGGCGGAGACCGCGCCGACTTCTGGAGGTTCCGAGGTCTGCGAAGCTCCAAGAGGAACCTGCGGAAAAGCAGGGAGGACTTGTCGGCCCAGCCGGTTCAGACCAAGTTCCCCGCCTATGAAAGAGTTGTTCTTCGGGAAGGTAGTTTATCTTCTGCACTGACCTGTGCCCTTTCATGTCAGTGTGCTTAAGAAAGAGCATCTACCATGACACTTTTCCCTCGAATTTCTCCACAGCTGGGTTTCTGAGGCCTGTGACCATCTTTGGACCAATAGCTGATGTTGCCAGAGAAAAGCTGGCGCGAGAGGAGCCAGATATTTATCAGATTGCAAGTAAGTGGTGAGGCTGGGTGTGTCTGCCGGTCACTCCTCGCAAGGGTGGGGCTGATCTAGTCACTTAAGGGAAGTAGAAGTTTTTGTAAGTGAAAATCGGCAGCTTATTCCATTTATCTGAATTGGAGGCAAACCCGTCCTTGTTCTCCGAATTGCCTGTAATAATAAGAGTCGCTGTTTCCGGAGCTCTGGGCTTCATAAGAAAGCTGCCTAGCAGGCAGCCTTGTTCATCCTGACAAAGTCATCGTGCTCAAGTCGAGCAGCCTGGGCCTTAGGTGGTGTGGTCCGGCCACCACCGGCCTCTTCAGCCTGACCCTTCCTGGGGACACCCAGCCGAAGAGTCACAAACCTCAGCCTTGACCTGACCCTTTCTGGCTCCAGCCCAGTGCTCACAGTCAATAGCTGACAGGAATATTCGAACATATAAAAAGGGTAACGCAAGCGTCGTTCGTGCTGTCGGCCGTCATTGCAGACGTTTGCCGCAGGCGAGTGCGCAGTGCCGGGGGTGCGGTGCTTCACACGCTCGGTCAGTCTTCTGTCGGTCGGCCTGTGTGGCAGTTTCAACGTGCTTAGTTCGGACCACCGGCTCACCTAAGTCACATGTCACGTTGCATAAATTACATACGAAGACCTAAACTGTTTTTTTTTCTAATTATAAAATATTACTATTTGGAAAAGTTAAAAAATTAATTTTGGCCCTGGCCGGTTTGGCTCAGCGGTTAGAGCGTCGGCCTGCGGTCCAGAGAGACCCGGGTTCGGTTCCCGCTAAGGGCGTGTACCTCGGTTGCAGTTTGTCCCCGGCCCTGGTCGGTCATGCGAGTGGCAGCCACTCGATGTGTCCCTTTCACGTCGATGTTTCTCTCTCTCTCTCTGTTCCTCTCTCTGCCTCCCACTCTACCTGAACAAAAAATGGAAAAATGTCCTCGGGTGAGGATTAAAAAAAATAATAATAATAATAATAATTTTGACGTGTCATCAGCCTAAATTTTACACTGTTGTATTTTCTTCCATCTTCCCATCTTTCATAGACTTACTTTTGTGAGGTTTTATATATACTGTTTTGATGAGTTTATACCCTCTTTTCCTTCATAACAGATAATATCATATTTTTATTTTGTTATTTTGCAGTTGACTTGTGGTTTCATTAGCCTTCTGTTGTTTATATAGTTTCAAGTTTATATTTTATTATTATGAAGGATGCAGAAATCTGCCTGTATTTTGTTTGCTTGTTTATACTTTGCCTTGTTTCCCAGAGGATTTAACTTTAAAAGAATACAGCTTTTCCCACATTCATGCTGATTTCCTTGGCAAAATCCCCAAAGACAGGGAGGGCTGAACCGGAGGCCGTGCCCATTGTCTGGCTCCTGCCGTGTGTGGCTGCCCTGCCCTCTACAGGGGGTGCCTTTCTCGTTCCCTGGCCTGAAGGGACACCCTCCGTGACATTGTTAGCCTAGTAAGTGCTCATTTAAAGGACCAGAGCAATGCCTTATTACTATATTTCTTTTCATTTGGTTGCTGGTAAAGTTGAATAAAGGTATTTAATTTCTGAAACTCAAAAGATTTGCAAACAAACGATGGTAAAATTTGAGCACGTTAGAAAATGTTCAGTTTGTTTTTTGGTCACTGTTTGTAGGTAATGCTTTGACTGAATTTGGTGGTGACCTCACCCAAAGCCAGACTTAGAGTTTTAAATTTAGGAAAGTCTAGTGTGAAGACTTACAGAGCTACCTTACGGAGAAATTGATTAGTTTAATTGGCTCTTGTGAAAGGGACTCAGATAGCTTTATTATCCAGATCCTCCTTGAATCTGATGAGTCTTTGAGTTTAGGAACCAGTAACATTTCCTCCAACCAGACTCCCAGTTGCTCTCTCTCCTCAATCCTCGTCTGTCCACCAAGTGTGGATTCTGCCCTCCTTCCGAATCCCTGCCTTTGTCCGATCGGAAACACCAGAGCTCGTACTTCCTTTCACGCTTCCCTTGTCACCAGAGCCACAAACCTCGCTGTGCCTTTGTAGTGAAGAGCTTGGTGTGACTCGGACCCGAGATTCTTGGTTCGCCGTTGGCTCAGCTGCAGTTGGCCTGTTACACACGGGGGTGGGGGGGGGGGGGCATGGGCTGTCTACCCCTGAACGGCCGTCTTTGCTCCCTGGCCTGGTCGTGACGGGTGAAAGGCCCTCACCCAGCACTGCCCGGCCAGGCTGCTCTCGTGCTGCCGCTGCCGGCTGTGGACCGCCCGGGGGGCTCTCAGCCCTCAGTGCTGAGCGGCTGTGCCCAGGAGGCCTTTCGGTCGTCCTGTGCCATACAGACAACAGCACTGTCGTGCCGGCTGGGCAGGGTTGACGTGGTGCCGTGCCAGCTTAACTGGCGCCTTGGGCGAGAGAAGGAAAACGTGCGTCCCTACAGCACATGTTGTGTGTTTTTCTAATGGCTGAGTTTTCCCTAGAATAGGAATGTAGCTGGAAAATTTTCGCAAAACATGAAAAATGTCAATATTAAAACTTATTTTAAGTTTAAATACTTATACCAAACACAGAATTTATAATGTTATTGTTTTGGCTTCAATGGAAGCAAGGTGAATGTTATATTGTAAAACTACTTTTAAAAATCTCATTCTCAATTGAGAGAATTTCTGTATTTGCCTGTTTCTCTTGGCCAAGGGACAGTCTTAAATAATTTTCCTGGAGTTCCATTTCCTGATTCTCTTTGAAATTCTGGTATGTCATTCATTGTAGAGGATTAATTTTGTTTATTTTTAGCACACTCTATCCAAATATTGCGTGATTACTGAGGTTTGGGGAACCTTAAATCTTGTACCCGAGGCCTCACGTGTTCTGCTAATCCCAGCGCTTTGGGAAGCACCGGCCTCCCCCAGTGGTTCTCATTCAGGGACGCTCCGCCCCATTGGGGATACTTGGCCACCTGGAGACAATGGGAGCAAGAGGGAGGGGGCTGCCAAACAGGCCGTGACCCCCAGGACCCCCCACAGCTAAGGGTTCCAGAGCCTCGCATGTCCCAGTGCCGGTGGTTGAGAGACTCCGATCTAACCGATGGAAATTTGATGTTTTGTCTTTGTCGTGGCTCCGTGAACAGAAAGTGAACCGCGAGATGCTGGAACTGACCAACGGAGCTCTGGCATTATTCGCCTGCATACAATAAAGCAGATAATAGATCAAGTAAGTTGATAAAACTTGACCTATTTCATTACACACTGTGAATGTTGTGCTTCTGAGTGGGAGGACGTTTGGCTCGCTTGAAAGTAGAAAATATTTTTTCTAAAATTACTGGTACACCATACTGAAAGGCATTATAATTATCACTTTCATGGGGCTAGTATTACATGCCTCTAAAGATGGTTTTTGATCACTGCGAAAAAATCTATTCAAATATATCAGTAGACTGTGTTTATATTGCATTAGTACAGTTCTCGTTGCATTTTGATATTTATGATAGGGGGTCTGTTTGTACTCTGAGATCATGTCAGGAAGACTAAATTGTTATACATATAATCAGTCTAACCCAGCAATTTTCTACCAGTGAGCTGCAAGAATTTTTAACACATTATACCTGACTACGTGGTCAGGGACACTGACCTCTTTTCTCTTCCAGTGGTTCTCAACCTGTGGGTGGCGACCCCTTTGGGGGTCGAACGATCCTTTCACAGGGGTCGCCTAAGACATAACAGTAGCAAAATTACAGTTATGTAATGAAGTAGCAACAAGAATAATTTCATAGTTGGGGTCACCGCAACATGAGGAACTGTATTAAATGGTCGCGTCATCAGGAAGGTTGAGAACCGCTGCCTTAGCCTGTCACAAAAACGATAACCGCCAACGCAGTAGCCATCCGATGTGAATTAATCAAAATTATACCGATTTTTTTTTGTCATAATGGCAAAAAAATAGTATTTTTTTTGTGTGCTGCAGAATTTTAGTAATTAGTTTATGTGTGCCCCGAGATGAAAAACGTTGGAAATGACTTATTTAATCGAACAGGTAGTATTATCAGCTTGCAAGTATTGAGGCTATTTTAAACATGAACTGGTTAAAAGTTGTTTGTTTGTGTGTTAGTTTTTTAAGTTGGGCTAGAAATTGTATCGCATTTAATTTCTGATGACAAATTTTCTAATGTGTCTCCTGAGACACCGGAGGACACCGCGGGCGCATGGCCTTGGGTGATGCTTCGTTAACTGCGTCTCGTGTCCTTAACGCATCTTCCCTTTCTATCTCCAGGACAAACATGCTTTATTAGACGTGACACCAAACGCAGTGGACCGTCTGAATTATGCCCAGTGGTACCCGATTGTGGTGTTCCTTAATCCTGATTCTAAGCAGGGCGTGAAAACAATGAGAATGAGGCTATGTCCAGAATCTCGGAAAAGTGCCAGGAAATTATACGAGCGGTCTCATAAACTTCGTAAAAATAATCATCACCTTTTTACAAGTGAGTGTTTTTAAAGGTCTTCTTTCAGCTTAAGTGGGCAAACGCATTGTGTTGTTCCAACACTGAAACTTACACACCTTGGCCTGGAAGGTTCCTGAGGTCACAGGTGCCATTGGATTCACAGAAAGTGCTGGAATAGAATGTCAAAGGCTCGTGCCCTCCAGCGCGTCCCGCAGATGACTCAGCCCTGGTGCTCGATAGCAGGTTCAGTGAGGTCTGGCTTGGGGCAGAGTTCTGCTGTAACACTGTGCTCTTCGTTTCTTTTCAGCGACAATTAACTTAAATTCAATGAATGACGGTTGGTATGGGGCCTTGAAGGAAGCGATTCAGCAGCAGCAGAGCCAGCTGGTTTGGGTTTCTGAGGGAAAGGTAAGGGGTTTCCTACTGTTTTAACCTGTTTACTCTATTACCTAACTCATCAGAGATGCCTCTGAGTGACGTTTTCTAAATGGTTTGGTTTTTATAATTTGTATACATACAAATCATATGCAAGTTGTTTTTGATAGTAGGACATTCAGAAATTTTCTCTATTGAATGACCACTTCAGTGGTGTTCCCGCCAGCGAACTCGTAAATTATAATGAAAAGAGTGGGGTTGAGTCCGACTCCCCATCTGATGAGGGTGCCCTTGAGCCTGGCTCCGTTCCCTCCTGTGGAGGAGGGGAGCCAGCTGGGCTAGATGGTGGTCCCAGAGTGCCGCCCTCAGCACGGGACCTCAGGACTCAAGGTGAGGATAGCGGCGCTCTGAGGGCAGGGGGTGGGCACCTGCCGACGCAGCCCCGCCAGGAGAGCACGTCTCCACGGCATGTTAGACTCACAGCTGCGCCCCCCGAATTCTTACCGAGGGAGTTTTCTTTTTCACTCAGCACCTGGTAACGTTCGTACACCACACCGGGAAATGTTGGACAAAGCGATGTGTCCTTTTTGGCTTTCATTTTTTATTTTACATCCAAATGGCCAGCTTTAAATAAGTGCCCGATGTCTGCTGTCACGCTTCAGGGCTTTGGAGCAGTCTGAACGGAGAAGGACTGTTGCATTTCGCTGGGAGAGTTAATAGTTTTCTCAAAGTACGTAGTTGAAAGAACCTTGTGATTGTAATGTCTTTTATCTTCAGATCAGTACAATAGAAAGACGTTTTGGTTGCTAGGGAAGATTGAGAATATGTTTTTTTATTTTGCTCTCTGTTTTCCTGCGTTGGCCTGGCCTGGTTTCCATTGTGCTTGCCCTGCATGGCCTCCTTCCCTCCGCCTGGCTGCGGGCGCACAGGCTGCGCCGTGCACGCTGCATGCTCTGCACCTCCACCCCTCGTGCGGAACACGCAGTCTGCGGGGACGCCGGCACGCGCCAGCCGGGGCAGTGCCTGCTGCTCCCACCTGTGGGCTGTGTCAGGGCACGGGCTCTGCATCTGAGATCTGTGAGACCACTTTGAGCAACTGACGGGTCGCTGGGCCACCTGGGCTGCAGGGCAGGGCAGGGAACTCTGCACTGGACAGCAGCGAGCTGCTTCCCGGGGCCTTGGCTGCAGAGGCTCGGCCTGCCTCTGATCTCCGGGGGCAGCACAGTTCTGGTAGCGCCCTCTGCAGGTGGACTGCTCACTGCTCTCTGATTCTCGAGATGGGGTTAGCCTGTAAGCACGAGGCATGCCGTCTGCCTGTCTGAGAGGTTTTTTAGATCCTCCCGTCTTAATCTATCATTTCTCTTTGTGATGTTGTTTCCTTTCTTTGCTTGATTGCAAATAAAGGCCTAATAACTCCCCCAACTTGTTATGTGAGAAAAATAGGTTATTTATTAAGGATAGATTGATACATTTTCTGAGTCAGAAAAATTTGTTACAATTTAAATCAAGCTTGATTTATCCCACCCCCTTCCATTCAGATATATTTTACCTGACTAGATTCTGAAACTAAAACTAGTTCATTTCACATCGACTTTTCTGAGCCAACTGCTTTGATCTGGTTGCTGCAAAGAGTTCCTGTGTTCACGTCTGATAGCCTTGTGTGTTCCCTCCCACTCTTGAAAAAGCCATCCTGAAACTCTCAGCATGTAGGTACATGGCATCTCTTGGTCCCAGCAACCCATGGGTCTTGCTTGGTCTGCACTTCATGCCATGGCAGACGCCAGGTGGGTTGGTGAGCTCCAGGCTACGCCCCAAGGCTTTAAGTGTTTCCCGCCTGCTGGGCTGCAGGCTCTGAGCCCTGGCAAGGTCAGGATCCCAGTGTGCTGACAGCTAGGGGACTTCTCTCCTGCAGCGCATCGCTGCATCGCTGCGGTGGGATGCCATTGAGATGCAGTGGGAGGGCTCTGCTTCCGTGGAGTCCCACTGGCCCCAGCCCAGCAGGCGCCCCGTTGCGGACCGGAGCCCCCAGGAGGCCTGACACACCCGAGTCTTTCCTGTCAAGAAGGCAGTGATCAGGTCGGGTTCTCACAGAGCCCGGCGTGCGCAGCCCCATTCAGGGGGCTCCAGCCTTGTCTGTCCTGCAGTCTGTGTGGAAGTGAAGAAAGGTAGTCTGGGTTCTGGGTTCCAGGCCCTTCAGGGACTCTGTTCAGTCCAGGTCCTAGTTGCAGTGGAGTCTCCAGTGACCTCTGCAGCTCTTTCCTTCCTTTTCCCACAGACATTTCTCGCTCCTTTCTGGTCCACACACAAGCTCGCGTGGACTGTTCAGAATGAGCAGCTCTTCTTCTTGTCACAGAGACGCATGACTGTCCTTCCCACACCATGCATTGGACACGGCGTCTTTGAAAAATGACAGGAAGGAATTCTTTGTGAGGCGGCCAGGGCTTAGGTGATGCTCTTCCTCAACCCATTTCGTCTTCACGGCCGTTCTCACCTGCGTGCCCCGTCGGGCGCCCTTGTTTCTGAGCGTGTTGGCGAGCGCTCTCCCCGCCCTCGCTGTGGGAGCAGGCTAGTGGCTGACTGGGCTGTGTGGCCCTCAGTGGTGCCAGGAGTCCTTCCTTGTCGTCCGGGGCCAGGCCCAGAGCCCAGCTCTGTCTGCATCGCGGTCACCCATCGGGTCTCCAAGGGTGCTCTGTGTGTCTGTATGTCCGCTTGTGCAGGCTTCTTGATCGTCCTCGGCAGAAGTTCAAGAACTAGATGCAGTTGCTTCAGAGGAAGACACCCTGCACTTGCCCTCGTAACATAAAGGCCATCTCTCAAAGAACTGCTGAATAAACTTTCCATTTACTTTCATTTGACCCAGGCGGACGGTGCCACAAGCGATGACCTTGATTTGCATGATGATCGTCTGTCCTACCTGTCAGCCCCAGGTAGCGAGTACTCAATGTATAGCACGGACAGTAGACACACCTCTGACTACGAAGACACAGATACAGAAGGCGGGGCCTACACTGATCAAGAGCTAGATGAGACTCTTAATGATGAGGTTGGGACCCCCCCAGCATCGGCCATTACCCGGTCCTCAGAGCCCGTAAGAGAGGACTCCTCTGGAATGCACCATGAAAGCCAGACTTATCCTCCCTACTCAGCACCTGCTCAGCCTCAGCCAGTTCATAGACTAGACTCCCCGGGACTTAAAGCAGCCGCTCACCAGGTAAGCAGCAGGTGCGCTGTGGGATTTCGGAGTGGCGTCTAGTTAAAGAGTATGTCCTGTCCTTTGTCTACATTAAGAACTTGTTGTTGCCCAGCCAGTGTGGCTCAGTAGATGGAGCATCCTCCCATGGACTGAGAGGTCCCAGTTTGATTACCGGTCGGGGCACGTGCCTGGGTTGCAGGCTCGATCCCCAGTAGGGGGTGTGCAGGAGGCAGCTGATTGATGAATCTCTCTCACATCAATATTTCTATCTTTCTCTCTCAAAAAGAAAAATCAAAAACATTTTTTTTAATTGTTAATTTTGAGTTGAGAATACCCAAGACTTAATCCTAAATTCTGTGTGTCAACCTTACACGGCAGTGACCTGAATGTTTTGTTTTTTAATGTAGGACCTAAAGTCTAGTTTTGTTATTCAGCACTCTTACAATGTACGTCTGCCGGCGCGATCAGGATGTGGGAAGTTAGCGGGAAACAGACACTATTTGAAATGTTTTAAACACTTCACAGAAAGCAGAAGCCTCGTCCCCAGTCCCTTACCTTTCGCCTGAAACAAGCCCAGCACCGTCAGCCTCTGCTGTGGACCCCACTGTCGGGCTCTCCCGTGGCAGACGGGAGGAGCCCGCCCCGGCTCCGCCCGCCTCCCACCCACCGCACGCTGACTCTGTCAGAGCACCAGGTGCTGAGACAGCTCACCCCGTGCTCGGGGGCCCAGGAGCATCACTGCCGTCGCATGCAGACCCGCCACAGGTACCTGTGCTGCTCCCCACCCGCGCCGAGCAGCCCGCCCCCCGTCCCTGTGCCTGTGCCTCGCTGTGGGCGCGCTCCGGAGGCTTCCGTCCCCACAGCCTTCCCTTTGTCGTCTGCATGGCTTCCGGCGGCACACGGGTCATGGGGGACAAGCCTTCCGATTGTGGTTTCTGCTTAATATTTTTATTATTCTTATTTTGGGGTTTTCCGTGTCTTCCAGAACTCCTTGCTCTATTGTTGAGAGCCCTCGTAGACGTTTCTATGTTTTATAAATTATGGTGTCTGTTAATTTTCTTTATGATTTTCATTTTCAGTGTCCAAATCAAGGGTAATCAATGGTTCAGTGCATTAATTTTAATTTTCTACTTAATCGAATAATTCCCTTCACTTCCCTTTTCATTTAGCACATGCTAGAACATAAAGCTCCTACTTGCGTTATAAATTTTGAGTTTTCACTTCAACTGTCTTTTTCCGCTAATCTCTCTCTGCCCTGGTAGTAAGCGGTGGGGCCATTTTTGCAGGTTAAATTGTAGCTTTGTCTGTTGAAATAGCCCAGAGTCAGACGCAAGCCTGGGTGCTCACGCGTGGTTTTCCTGCAGGTGCACAGAAAGGACCCCTATCCTGAGGACATGATAAGGCAGAACCACGTTCTGAAGCCACCAGCCGTTGGTCACCTGGGGCAGAGGCCGGACAAGGAGCCTAGTCTGAGCTACGAGCCCCAGCCGCAGTACCTGGAGAAACAGGCCAGCAGGGACCTGGAGCAGCCCACATACAGATACGACCCCTCGGGCTACGCGGACCACTTCCCTCGAAACCTAAGCCGCCGTCTGCGCTACGAGGAGCGCGTCCCGGCCTACGACGACCACTGGTCCTACTACGAGGACCAGCAGCCGCACCAGCCTCGGCCTGCCTTCGAGCATCAGCACCCGCGGGACCCGGACTCCAGGCAGCTCCCCGAAGAGCCTTCCGAGCGAGGGTATTTCCCACAGTTTGAAGAGCCAGCCCCTCTGTCCTATGACAGTCGGCCCCGCTATGACCAGCCACTCCGAACCTCCACCCTGCGACATGAAGAGCCGCCAGCGCCTGGCTATGACGTGCACCATCACTACAGGCCGGAGGCACAGCCCCCTCCGGCAGCAGGCCCCAAGACCGTGGAGCCCAAGCAGTATTACGACCAGTTCCCACGCAGCTACGAGCAGGCTCCGGCGCAGGGCTTTCCCTCCAAGGCGGGCCAGTACGAGCCTCCCCATGGGGCCGCGGTGGTCGCGCCTCTGCCACCCGCCTCGCAGCACAAGCCGGAAATCCCACCTCCCAGCACCAAACCACTGCCCCCACCCCCAGCTCTGACCGAGGAGGAGGAAGACCCAGCCATGAGGCCACAGTCTGTGCTCACGAGGGTGAAGATGTTTGAAAACAAAAGGTCTGCGTCCTTGGAGAGCAGGAAGGATGAGAACCACCCCGCCGGCTTCAAGGTACACGTGGCTGTGTCGCCCGCCTGGGCGCGTGCGGTGGAGCAGCCCAGGTGGGTCTCGGGCCTCCCCCAGCGAGCCTGGTCTGTAACGATCTGGGGCGTGTTTGTCTTGTTTTTGCAGCCTCCAGAGGTAGCAGCTAAACCTCCAGGGGCTCCCGTCGTTGGTCCTAAAGCCATTCCTCAGAGTCAGTTCAGTGAGCACGACAAGACACTGTACAGGTGGGTGCATGTCTGGTGTTCATGTGTCGACTGGATGGCCAGGAACCTGACTGCGTAGACACTGAGCACACCTCCAGTCAGTAGAGAGAAAGAGCAAGGGAGAGAGTCTCAGTCCTGGAGTGAGGACCACCAGCCTTTCCAGCTCGCGCGATGGCCGGGAGAGCACAGCGGAGGGTCTGCTGCTCCACAGCCGGCCCCGTGGTAGCTCAGGGACAGCGGAGGGTCTGCTGCTCCACAGCCGGCCTCGTGGTAGCTCAGGGACAGCGGAGAGTCTGCTGCTCCACAGCCGGCCTCGTGGTAGCTCAGGGACAGCGGAGAGTCTGCTGCTCCACAGCCGGCCTCGTGGTAGCTCAGGGACAGCGGAGGGTCTGCTGCTCCACAGCCGGCCCCGTGGTAGCTCAGGGACAGCGGAGGGTCTGCTGTACTCCACAGCCGGCCCCGTGGTAGCTCAGGGACAGCGGAGGGTCTGCTGTACTCCACAGCCGGCCTCGTGGTAGCTCAGGGACAGCGGAGGGTCTGCTGCTCCACAGCCGGCCCCGTGGTAGCTCAGGGACAGCGGAGGGTCTGCTGCACTCCATAGCCGGCCTCGTGGTAGCTCAGGGACAGCGGAGGGTCTGCTGCTCCACAGCCGGCCCCGTGGTAGCTCAGGGACAGCGGAGGGTCTGCTGCTCCACAGCCGGCCCCGTGGTAGCTCAGGGACAGCGGAGGGTCTGCTGCTCCACAGCCGGCCCCGTGGTAGCTCAGGGACAGCGGAGGGTCTGCTGCTCCACAGCCGGCCTCGTGGTAGCTCAGGGACAGCGGAGGGTCTGCTGCTCCACAGCCGGCCTCGTGGTAGCTCAGGGACAGCGGAGGGTCTGCTGCTCCACAGCCGGCCTCGTGGTAGCTCAGGGACAGCGGAGGGTCTGCTGCTCCACAGCCGGCCCCGTGGTAGCTCAGGGACAGCGGAGGGTCTGCTGCTCCACAGCCGGCCCCGTGGTAGCTCAGGGACAGCGGAGAGTCTGCTGTACTCCACAGCCGGCCCCGTGGTAGCTCAGGGACAGCGGAGGGTCTGCTGCTCCACAGCCGGCCTCGTGGTAGCTCAGGGACAGCGGAGGGTCTGCTGCTCCACAGCCGGCCCCGTGGTAGCTCAGGGACAGCGGAGGGTCTGCTGCTCCACAGCCGGCCCCGTGGTAGCTCAGGGACAGCGGAGGGTCTGCTGCTCCACAGCCGGCCCCGTGGTAGCTCAGGGACAGCGGAGGGTCTGCTGCTCCACAGCCGGCCTCGTGGTAGCTCAGGGACAGCGGAGGGTCTGCTGCTCCACAGCCGGCCTCGTGGTAGCTCAGGGACAGCGGAGGGTCTGCTGTACTCCACAGCCGGCCTCGTGGTAGCTCAGGGACAGCGGAGGGTCTGCTGCTCCACAGCCGGCCCCGTGGTAGCTCAGGGACAGCGGAGGGTCTGCTGCACTCCACAGCCGGCCTCGTGGTAGCTCAGGGACAGCGGAGGGTCTGCTGTACTCCACAGCCGGCCTCGTGGTAGCTCAGGGACAGCGGAGGGTCTGCTGCTCCACAGCCGGCCCCGTGGTAGCTCAGGGACAGCGGAGGGTCTGCTGCTCCACAGCCGGCCCCGTGGTAGCTCCCGGGTCTGCTGCTCCACAGCCGGCCTCGTGGTAGCTCAGGGACAGCGGAGGGTCTGCTGCTCCACAGCCGGCCTCGTGGTAGCTCAGGGACAGCGGAGGGTCTGCTGTACTCCACAGCCGGCCTCGTGGTAGCTCAGGGACAGCGGAGGGTCTGCTGATCCACAGCCGGCCTCATGGTAGCTCAGGGACAGGGATCTTGGAAATAACATTTTTCTAGCAAGTGATTAAAATGAAAATTTTATTTATTGATTGATTGTACATGCCCCTAGCAGGAACCGAACTCGAGACTCTTCTGGTCCACAGCTGACGCTCCAACCGCTGAGCCAAACTGGGCCAGGGCTAAAATGAAAATTTTAAAGCTCTAACACTTGTAGTATGATTTTTAGCTTTAAAAGTGCTTTCAAACACGCAGACTCTTAGTTTTGAGGGGTAAGGAAACAGATTCAGACTGGCCCAAACGACAGATCACTCGTGTACTGAGCACGGCCGGTGGCTTGCCCCTCGCCAAGCCTGGAGAGCAGTGCAGGTGACGGCAGGACTGGGCAGGGGGAGCGGAACCCGCCGCTGGGCCCTTGGCGTGGCCTCGTGAGCTGCTCCTAGGGGACAGCGTGGGCAGGAGTACAGCTTCCGCCTGACTGACGCTCCCCTTCCTCACTCTTGTGCTCGTACTGAAGAGGAACCGTGTGACGTGCACGTCTTCCTCCTGTTCAGTCCTGTCTTGAAATAGTGCTTCTCGGGAAATTGTGAGCTCTCATGGCGTCTCCTTTAGCCCGTGTGGTTAGCAGACGGGCTGTTACATAAAATAAACTTGTAAGAACTGAAGCTTGGCCCTTGTTTGATGCAAAACCTGGTCACATTTTTGTTGTTGTTTGTTTTTTTTACCCTCACCCAGGGACATTTTTGCATTTACCTTCAGATAAAGCAGGAGAGAGAGAGAAACATTGATGTGAGGGGGACACATTGACTGGCTGCCACCCACACGACCCCAAGCGGGGCTAGGGACAAACTGCAACCGAGATACATGCCCTTAGCGGGAACCGAACCCAGGTCTCTCTGGTCCGCGGGCCAATGCTCTAACCCTTGAACCAGACCAGCCAGGGCTGGTTACGTGTGTTTTGATTCCAGGTTTCTAAAATGTGCTAAGCAGAGCATACACCATGATGTATTCATTTGCCTAATAACTTACTTTCATCCTGGCTGGTTTGGCCCAGTGGTTAGAGGTCGGCCTGCGGTCCAAAGAAACCCAGGTTCGGTTCCCGCTAAGGGCATGTACTCCGGTTGCAGGTTGTCCCCGGCCCTAGTTGGTCTGCGAGTGGCAGCCACTCGATGTGTCCCTTTCACATTCATGTTTCTCTCTCTCTCTCTTCCTCTCTCTCCCTCCCACTGTACCTGAACAAAAAATGGAAAAATGTCTTCGGGTGAGGATTAAATAAATAAATAAATAACTTTCTTCCCCTTCTGCTTTCTGTGCCCTTTGGACTTGACAAAGCTATTTCCTTATAGGAGGATCACTTGATCCTGGATTAGAGTTCTTAAAAATCGCCCACCCTCGACCTGTGGTTGCCGTGTCTGTGCCGGGTCAGGGCTCATGCCCAGGCTGTGGGCCAGATCCCCAGGGGGGAGCATGCAGGAGGCGGCCAGTCGATGTTCTCTCTTATCGATGTGTCTTTCTCTTTCTCTCCCTTCTTCTCTCTAAAAAATCTTTTTTAAATTGGGGCACCCTCTCGGCTGTTCCTCGGTGCCGGTGTGGGTGAGTGTGCTGGAGAAGTTCTCCACCGTGTGACTTCACTTCTTGTTCTTTTTCTGATTAACGCTTTTAACCTGCTGTGCGGCCTCTTGCCGACGGGTGGTTGTGAGCTTCATAGATGGTGTCCAGAAGCATGGCCGGAAAGGGCTGCCTCGGGAGCCTCGTGTGAAGACGGAGGTCACGTCCATTCTCGGGCTGCTCGGGGAGGTCCTGAGTGATCAGCCGGCAGTGAGGGGCAAGACGAACGGTGTGTCTCTTCCGCTGTCTTTGTGAAATCAACCCCTAAAAGCTGTCCCGTTTGCCATTCATTGTCAGGATCCCAGAACCTCAGAAACCTCAGCCGAAACCCCCTGAAGACATTGTTCGGTCCCATCATTACGATCCCGAGGAAGATGAAGAGTATTACCGGAAACAGCTCTCCTACTTCGACCGAAGGAGCTTCGAGAACAAGCCGCCCACACACGCTCCTGCAGGCCACTCCGAGCTGGCCAAGCCGGCGCGCACTCAGCATCAGCCAGACCTTTCTAGTTATTCTTCGAAGTGAGTTGTTTCACAGGGTCACCTTCTGTGAGCGAGATGACACGTGAAGGTCCGATTGCGTCTCGTGGAGTCAGGCCCGTGCGGTTGGGTCTACCTGGAAGGAAGTGGCTGAGTGCGTAGTGCACGCTCTCTGTAGGCCCGGGGTCAGCGTGGGCCCCCTTCTAGCTCCAGGCAGTGTGCGTTCTTGGTTCATCTCTGACGGCACATACGTGGAGTTTTGCGTTAGGAACAGGTGTTAGAAAGAATAAGCTGTGGACTGGAGTTTCTCCAGTCGGTGCAGCACAGGCAGTGCTGGTTCCTTTCCTTGTTTTCTGTTTCTTTGTTTTTAACTCTAAAAACGGAGTGTTGGGGTGACATTGTTGGAGGAAAGGTAGCATTTGTTTTTTCAAGACGAGAAAGAGCTTGTCTTTCTTTACAATTGGAGTGGGGGTGGGGAGCTTTACAGATTTTTGGTCCAGTGTGCACACCAGGAAACCACGCCCCAGTGAGGGACGCGACGGCCAGAGCTGGCAGTGAACCCCAAGTTGTTGGACCCTCCCTGTTGTCATCTTCCTTCCCTGGGCTGTTCATTTGCCCCTGGTGGGTTTTGTTGGGGTACGGTCTCACTTGTGCCTGTGTGGGTTCCTCTTTCCTGCTGGATCTGCATCTCTGGTTGAACCCTGAGTTGGGGGGACTGAGTCCTGAGAGGGGTGTAAACACACAGGCACAGGTGGGCTCAGGCTTCAGCAAAACCGACCCACAGAAGGAAGGACAGAGGTGGGTTTATCATGAGGAATTTGCTTACATTCGGGGGACCTGGCTCAGCACGTCCTAAGTCCCTGCGTCCGGAAGAGATCGGACAGACATGCTTGGAAGTCTCGGAGCTCAGGGAAGCCTGGGTGCTCCTTAAAAGAGCCCGTCCAGATCATCTTCCCTGTAATTAACTCAAAACGCAACAGGCTAGAGACATGAGGTTCGAAGTTCCCTCCGTAGCAGCACTGCACTGGTGTGTGAGTAACTGACTAGAGTCCACCAGGCCGCAGGCACACCAGAAAGCCGCCCGGACCACAGGTCTGGATTTGAGCCCATATCCACTTCGTCCGTTCAGCTGTCCACAGAGAAGGCAGTTGGTGAGAAGTTCAGGGGCAGACTCGGGGTGCTGGGGTTCAGTTCACGCAGACAGGGCCTCTGCTCCCCACCACAAGGTAGAGAGGGGCCCAGAGTGTGTGTACAGAGGTGAGCTCAGCGTGGGGCCGTCAGCAGCTCCCCTTCGCCCAGGCGGAGGCCCGGCCTTGTAATCATCAGATGCATTCGTTCCTGTTAGAAGAGGATCCAGTGGGTAGCGTAAGGAGAGCGATTTTACTGATCCTTTTACCTACTTGGTGACTACAATACAAACTAAAGAAAACTACAGGTAGGGCTAAAGTTTTGCTGGGAAATCAATTAGCAAGGCATTTTTGGTTTTCTGGGAGGAAGACAACGCAGTTGTGATCTGTGACTTTCAGGCAGGGTCTAGGACGCCGCTCAGTGTCTGGTGGGGGGCTCGGAGCTACGTTGCGATGGAACTACGTTGCGATGGAGCTACATTGCGATGGAGCTAAATTGTGATGGAGCTACGTTGCGATGGAGCTACGTTGCGATGGAGCTACGTTGCGATGGAGCTACGTTGCGATGGAGCTACATTGCGATGGAGCTCCGCGCAGGGCACGGTGTCCTAGGAGCCAGCCGCCCTGAGTTCCCGCACACGGCTCCGGGGCTGGTGGTGGCGGGTCAGAGGCTCAGTAAAAATGGACGGGGAATGCGATGGGCGCCAGCCTGCCCTTCCCCCCTCTGGCGCAGGGTCCGGAGGAGGTGTGCCCTGCAGAGAGGATGGGGAGCGGGGCGAGGGCCCTGGAAGGCGACTCCAGGAGAAGCGGTTTCTGTGCTTCCCTGCTACGCTTTCGCCTCATTCATGACTGGAAAATGGTTTAACCTGTGGGACCCTCTTTGTCCTACGTTTCAAAACGGTTTGCTGTTTGTCACCAACAGATTGCCTACAGGCCTGTACTTCCTGAAGTAGAATACAGGAAGAGCAGCGTTCCCTCCTTCTGGGTAACGTGCTTATTTTCCAGTGGAAAGCCCCCCCAAAGTGGTGGGAATCAGGGGAGAAGTCCTCACTATTAGCACAGGACAGGTGCCCCAGAAAGCAAGCCGATGGCACCCCATCTTACAGTTCGGGAGAGCTGGGCTGGAGCTGGGAAGATTGAGCGATAGCATCTCAAAGCAGGTTACCGCCTCAGGCACGGGTTGTCTGGGGACAGTCTCCCGCCGGTCCGGGCTTGTGCCCGGCCGGAGACCTAAGCGTAAGATTTATGTGCTGGGCCTTCAACAGAGCATCTTGTCCTCACCCAGAACCTGCGGTTATCCGAGGGGTTTACTTCCTTTCTGGGTCCCCACTGCGGGGAGGGGCACACATGTCGTGGCGCTCACTGTTAGCACCAGAGTGGGGGCGGGAGGCGGGACAGGTCACTGGGGGTGGATGGCCTGGTGGTCTCTCTAGCTAACTGGGCGTCAGTGATGTTTCTAGACCGAGTTAATTTAAAAAAGGTGGGTGTGTGTCTTCTGGTCGATATTTTAAAATGACATTTTAGTTCCCTTTGCTACAAATTTCTTAGTCAGATTGACCATTTCCTTCCATTTTTCTGCTGCACTTGCTTTGCCGTCACCTAGATTTCTTGGCTCTTACACTAGCTATGACTACTTGAAAAGGAACGTCAAGTGGTAAGACTGGCACGCGTGCCGCTGTGCTCAGGTGTCTCCTGCCGTGTCATTGGCGTTATGTGCACTTCCAGATTGACCGTCCCCTTCAAACCTCAATCTAAATGTGGACAGCAAGCTAACGGCCTGGTTTTAAAGCCAGTGACAAAACAAAAGTCTTCTGTGGACGTCCATGTGTGTCTGTGGTTGGTGCACACAAAGCCAGTGTGACGTGGCGCTCTGCAGAGGTGTGGATGGCAACGTGGCGGTCATGGGTCTCTGAAAGGTTCTTGTGTGTGTTTCATGTGTCACACGGTGACAGTGGGCAGTCTGAGAAGATAAGCACTCGGCACAACTGGGCTTGAACGAGCCCTGTGACCTTCAGCAGTGTCGGCAACTCTCACTGCTGCGAGCCAGCCTGGACCCGGCCCAGCGAGGGCCAGCCTGAACCAGGGCTCTCGGCTCCGGTGTCCTGGACACGGCCACTCGTTCACGCACATACTGTCCCTGGTGCTTCAGACAGGGTTCGGACAGTTGTCTCTGAGACCCTGACAGCCCAGAAAGCCAAAAACATGTACTGTCCGACCTTAACTGGAACAACTGACCGACCCTGTCTGACACCACTCTGCGCTGCCCAAGTGTGCCAGGCACCAGCCCTGCACCTTAGGTACGACTTGGAAGTGACTCCAAGGGACATTTGGGCCAATGAATATTTTTGAAAATATTTGCAAAACTTTCTTAAATTGTAAACAACACAGTGAAACATTACGAGCACACCCAGAATTCCGCCTGCCTCCTGGTTGCCATCATGCTGGGTGTCTCCTGGTGTTCTTAACGTGCCTGTGCTGTCTTTGCCTCTGTTGTGCTGGTGAGGGGTGGGTTCGTTTGCCTGTTTTGATAGCGTAGTTGTAGTCATGAGAAAAAACTGTGAAATTACTAGATTTTTTTTTTAACTTAGAGAATGAGAACTTGTCTTGTTCATGTAAGTCCATTTTCAGGTGTTGGCATTGTCTTCATGTTTTCACAGGGGAAAGTCCGTTGATTCTGATGCTGTGGACAGATCCTTTGGCGAGAAGCGCTATGACCCCGTCCAGGCCACGCCGCCCCCTCCCCCGCTGCCCTCCCAGTACTCCCAGCCCCCTGCGCTGGGCTCCAGCTCCTCGCTCCACACCCATGCTAAAGGAGCCCATGGGGAAGGTAGGCCACTCGGAGTTGGCAATGCCACTATACTAGAGTAATATTTACAAAATTAAATTCTCAAGTCTAAGAAAAGTGTTTTTATATATATAAGAAATAATACAGCCTGGCTGGTGTGTCTCAGTGGATAGAGCGTCATCCCATGGACCGAGAGGTCCTGGTTCAACTCCCAGTCAGGGCATGTGCCCGGGTTGCAGGCTCGATCCCCAGTAGGGGGCGTGCAGGAGGCAGCCAGTTGATGTTTCTCTTTCACATCCATGTTTCTTGCTCTAAAAAAAAATCAATAAGAATGTTTTTTGTTTGTTTGGTTTTTGTTTTTAATCCTCACCCGAGGATATTTTTCCATTTATCTTCAGACAGAGTGTGAGGGGGAGGGAGAGAGAGAAAAACATCAATGTGAGAGAGAGAGATTGATTGGTTGCCTCCCGCATGACCCTGACCAGGGCTGGGAACAAACCACAACCGAGGTGCCCTTGACTGGAATCGAACCTGTGACTGACTCTTTGGTCCACAGACCGACATACTAACCGATGAGCCAAACTGGCCAGGGCCAACAAAAACATTAAAAAATAATAATAATAACACGTAGACCTGGCCAGTGTGGCTCAATTGTCTGGGTGTTGTCGCGTGCCCCAAAAGGTTGCCAGTTCCCTTCCCGGCCAGGGCCAGGCCAGGGGTTGTTGCGCTCTCACATCAATGTTTCACTCTCTCTTCCTCTCTCTAAAAATCAATAAAAAGATTTTAAAAAGTTAAAAAACCCTGATATTAAACAAAAAGAAAGAAAGAATACGAACACCATCTAAGCTGGGAACAGTGAAAACAGGGTTTTGATAGAAGTGCATCACCTGCTTTATGACTGCCCATTCTTTACACTGAACAAGCCTTCACTGAGTGTACTTGACTGCGTTCTATTAGAGCAGCTCAGTTTCTGGAAGTAGTTTTGTTTCCCAGTATGTCCGCTCTAAGTATTTGAATGGTGGTTTGTAAAAATTATTGTTATATTCCCTCATCACCCTGGACACAGGAAAGATGTAAAGTTTCACCCAATATGTATCCTTTGGCACGTTGCCTCTTGCACTTACGTTCTGTAGCAAAATCTCAACACAGTGGATGACAGAGATCCAGTCCCTTAGTTTTGGTAGCTGAGTCCTTGCTGCCCTCCTCCTGGGCCAGCCCCTCTGCCCCCTCCCGCTCCCCTCAGCTCCCTCCTCCTGGGCCAGCCCCTCTGCCCCCTCCTGCTCCCCTCAGCCCTCCCCGCTCCACAGAGCCCTTCCCTCTACGTGCAGACTGCAGACTCGGAGCCGCCTGTTTCCTTGTCGAAAGCCCCTTGTTTGGACCCTGCTGCCTCTCCAGACTGCCCTCATGTCTCCTTTGTCTCCTTGCCTTTCATCAGACTCCCTGAAGTGGAACCTGTTCCCTCCACCTCCCAACACCCCTTTTCTTATTTGGTCCTTTCAAAAAAAAAAAAAAAAAAGCCATATTTGCCCTCAGAATATACCACAACTTATTTTTCTCCTGTTGACATTTTGCTGCTACAAACAGTACTTCTATTGTATACGTAAGAGTCAGATTCCAGGCCAGGTCTCAACCAGACAGGTTGCAGCTGTAGATTGATCGGATTTTCTTAACACCCCGTCAGGTCTGCAGGCAGTTTCACCTCCTACTTTCCAGTGCTCATGCCTTTCACTTCTTTTCCTCGCTTTCCACTAAAATGCTGGGTGGAATGATGACAGCAGACGTCTCCGCTGCTCCCGTCTCCGGGAGGAGGAGGTGACGTGTCAGCTCTGGGGCGCTGGCGGCGGGGTTTGTAACGAGCTGCCTTCTGTTAGGTTCAGGGCGTCGTCCTGTCCCCGCCTCGCCGAGATCCTTGTGTCAGATGTTGTTTGTGCAGGTGTGAAAGGTGCTCATGAGATTTTCCTCCTGTGTTCTGTTACTGGAGTAAGTTATGTTACGATGTTCACAGGAGTTTGGGTTTATGACTTCCTTTTCTCAGAATGTCTGTGCCTGGTTCTGGTGTTAGGTTCTGCAGGTTTCATAAAAGAGCTGGGACATGCTCCTTCTTTCTCTCTTTTCTGAAAGAGTTGGAGTGTTGAGGATATTTTTTCACTTATCTTCAGATAGAGTGGGAGGGAGGGAGAGAGACAGAAACATTGACTGGTTGCCTCCCATACAACCCCAGCCGGGCCAGGGACAAACCGCAACTGAGGTAGGAGCCCTTGACTGGAATCGAGCCCGCGACTTGTTGGTCCTCAGACCGACACTAATTGCTGAACCAGCTGGCCAGGGCGTGGGCTGCTATTTTCTGCGTAATTATCTCGTGGATCCGGTTGCCTTGGTTTCACCGTGCCAACGGTGGCACGTGGGAATTCCTGCGCATCCCGTCCTCTGACCCTGGGCATCGCCAGACTTAAGTTTTGCTAATCTGATGGGTGTGAAAGGGTTTTGTTTTTTTTGGAGTTTGCATTTTCCTGATCCACAGTGAGGTGGTTTGGATACTGGCCAGTGTAGTTTTCACCTCCGTCCAAGTCTGAGCCCATCTTCCTGTGAGGTTGAGTCTTTCCTACGACGTGTAGGTGTTCACGGGATGGGGATCCTAATTCTTTATCAGGTGGACGTTGTTCATAGTTTCCCCCAAAGTGTGGCCTTTCTCTTGACTCTAGTTACACTGAGTTTTCAGTACTGATTTTTTTAAATCAGCCAAATTCGTCATTCTGTTCCAAATTTGCTGTGACGTTGGGGATGGCCAGTCTCTGGACCCGCGGCAGCATGGCCCTGACTTGGCGGCGGGAGGCGCCCACAGACCCGTGTCCACGCAGCCCCCCGCAGCGTCGCGCGGCCTCCGGCGCTGAGGGGCGCCCTGACTGGTGGCCCTGAGCGGGGCCTGGGTCCCACACCAGGTTGAGTTGGAGAGAGGGCAGAGGGGCTGCGAAACCTTTTAAAGTGTTTTAAATGTGTGTTTGTTTGTTTTCAGGTAACTTAGTGTCATTGGATTTTCAGAACTCTGCGGTGTCCAAGCCCGAGCCACCCCCATCTCAGAACAAGCTGGCCGCTTTCAGACCCCTGACCCGAGAGGACCCCGCTCTGCCTGCGCTCCACCCCCAGAGAAGTTTCCCGGACAAGGCGCCCGTGAACGGGACTGAACAGACTCAGAAAGCAGTCACTCCAGCCTACAACCGCTTCACCCCCAAACCCTACACGAGCTCCGCGCGGCCGTTCGAGCGCAAGTTCGAGAGCCCCAAGTTCAGCCACAACCTCTTGCCGAGTGAAACCGCCCACAAGCCCGACGTGCCGGCCAAGGTCCCGACCTCTCCCAAAGCCCTCCTGAAGGCGCAGCCCCCCGAGTTCGACAGTGGGGTGGAGACATTCTCCATCCACGCAGACAAGCCCAGATACCAAGTGAACAACGTCGGCACCGTGCCCAGAGCCGTGCCTGTGAGGTGAGAGCCAGATCGGTGTCTGATGTGGGACTCGACGGGATTGTTCTGTTTATTTTAAATCCTCGCCAGAGGATATTTTTCCATTTATCCTCAGACAGAGTGGGAGGGAGGAAGAGAGAGAAACATCGATTTGAGAGGGACCAGGGCCGGGGACCAGAGGCACGTGCCCTTGACTGGAATTGAGTGACTCTTTGGTCCACGGGCCAACACTCTAACCACTGAGCAGGCCTGCCAGGGCTCGACAGGATAGTTTTACCTCAAACCGCTGACCACAGTGTTGGCGTCGGTGCTGTTGTGCTGACGGCCCTCGGGGGCTACGAGGTGGTGTCCATGCAACAGCCAAGCTGAGTCACGTGTGGCCGGTCGGCCTTGTCATGGCCCCATGTGACCCAGAACCGAGGTTGAGTGACGCTGCGGTTCGCCCAAGGTCGCACAGCTAGGGTGTGGAAGCCTGCGTCCAGCCCTGGTCATCTGACCCCAGCCTTGCTCTTCAGCCGTGGCTTCATCCCACGGCCCAGTGGCCTCAGGACACGGGCGGTGGGAAAGAAGGGAGGCGTAGGCTCAGCTGTGAGCTGAGAGCCGGATCCGTGTCATCTGATTTGGGACCCGACGGGATAGTTCTGCTTATTTCGCAGCGGCAGCTGGCGATGAGTGAGCGCCTGCTGTCTGAGCAGAGGACAGAGGGCCCCGGAGCCACCCTCCCGGGGTCCTTCTCTGGGGCTGACCCGGCCTGTGCTGGCCACACGGAAGCTCACCTCAGCCCCCAGACCCTCTCAGCCCGAGCCTGCCTCCCAAGAGCGGGGTGCGCATGGGCTCGAGGGCTTCCCTCCCAGGAGGGGGGGGGGTCCACGGCTGCTGGTGGTTGCTGTGTGCTGCTGTCTCCGAGGGTGTCGACCTGTCACCTGGTGGGACGGGGAGGCCTTGCCTTTGGCCGCAAGGGCGCGGGACTGGAGTGCTGAGGGGAGGCCCAGGGCACACCGCCCTGGGGGTGGGACCTGGTTAGTGCATCGCATTGGCCCCAGGTGCCGGCCGCTGTCTGGTGCACTGTTGTCCTGTGTGTCACAGAGGGAAAGTGGAGCCACCAGCTCAACCGGGACTGGACATCAGTTTGGTTTTTTTTAATCCTCATTTGAGGACATTTTTGTATTTTTCTTCAGATAGAGCGGAGGGAGAGAGAGGAAGAGAGAGAGAAACATTGATGTGAGAGAGACACATCATGTGACCGCCACCCACACGACCCCAACCAGAGCCGGGTACGTGCCCTTAGTGGGAACCAACACTGGCACTCTCTGGTCCGCGGGCCTACGCTCCAACTGCTGAGCCAGACTGGCCAGGGCTGGACATCACTTTCAAAGCACTAGTTTTGCGGATGTTGAAACGCACTCGATACTGATGAACTGCAGTCGTTGGGCGAGCAAGGTACCTGGCTTTGTACATTCTGGTTTAAAAATCAGTGATAAAGGTGACTTGATTAGTTACCTTCTAAAATGCAGTTGATTTCTCCAGGAAGAACCTTAGCAGTTAGCACTGTGAGTAAAATGTGTCACTGAAATGCCACCCGCTGGAGTAAAGACCTGAGAAAGACAATGAAAGGTGGCCACCGATGGCTGTAGTCACGAGAGGCCTGTGTGGGCTGGAGGGGACTCACCAGCCGTTTCTGAACTCAGTCCTTCAGCTGTGGAAGAGGATGACGACGAGGACGGGCACACCGTGGTGGCCACAGCCCGAGGCGTGTTCAACAGCAACGGAGGGGTGCTGAGCTCCATCGAGACCGGCGTCAGCATCATCATCCCGCAGGGAGCCATTCCGGAGGGCGTGGAGCAGGAGATCTACTTCAAGGTCTGCCGGGACAACAGCATCCTCCCGCCTCTCGATAAGGAGAAAGGTACCTGTGTGTTCCTCGGCTCGGCTTTCCTGGCTCAGCTGCCTGTGAGCGCAGACAGGGCTCAGCGGAGAGGTCTGTCCAGACCCTCCTGCTCCGTGCAGGCCAGGCGAGCACGCTCCTCTCTCAGAAGGGCTCTCCGGGCAGCCCTGTGCAGGGAGAGCCGGGCGGTGTCACGGCCCGCGGCCGGGCTCCACAACGAGGCCGCGGGGTGGGGGTGGTGCTGGACCTTCCACGTGGGCGTTTCCCTTCACGTGTGAGGGGCAGGCGACAGGCCACTGGGCTCCTCCTGTCCGCCAGGCACCTTGGCCAACCTCCCCAAACTCGCGTTGGAGTCCCTCACCCCTTCCTTCTCGATGGCTCAGGCCGCACCCACTCGGCCAGGCTCTGCTGGGTGCCTGTCGCCTGCAGGGGAACCTCACAGCCCCAGCCCCAGCCCCAGCAACAGTCAGCGGCGGGTGGAGTGCCTTGCCTGTCAGGCATCGCAGTGCGTTTCAGAGCTCCGGGCTCCTTAGGGAACCGGGGTGCTGCTGTCCTGGTCTCCCTGGCTGTCAGGATGACACGATGACCGTGGGGACGGCCTCTTTAGGAGTCGTCCAGCACTGCTTCCCTGCCGTGCGCGCATCGCTGTGTGACGGTTGGCCAGAGAGCTGACAGGTTGGCCCTGCGTAGACCCCCTTTGCCCAGGGTGTGCGCTAAAATACGAGATGTAAGTAACATGTAAAGAGTACATTTGAATGTCCTTCCTGGGTCGCCTGCGGGAGCCGCCAGCCCTGTGGCTGTCATGGGTGACAGCGTGCTGGAGTGTCCGACACAGTGCCAGCAGTGTGCTGCATTGGCACGTCGGCAGGATGTGGGGTAAATTGGGTTCAAGTGGCTGCTGGGACATTTAAAACGACGGGTGTGGCTTAGTCATGCTCCTGCAGAGGGCGAGGGGACCAGGGTGCAGAAGGGAGACAGGCTAACCTCTTCCCCACCCCCAGGTGAGACCCTGCTGAGCCCGTTGGTGATGTGTGGGCCCCACGGCCTCAAGTTCCTGAAGCCCGTGGAGCTGCGCCTGCCACACTGTGCGTCCATGACTCCTGACGGTTGGTCTTTTGCTCTAAAATCATCCGACTCCTCGTCGGGTATGCTGTCTTCACTCTGTCCTTTGGGGGCTTTGGGGACTGTCATTGATTAACCCTGGGCAATGGGGCTCCCCTGCTGTTAGTGAGCCTCCCCCTATGTCCCGTGGGCCTGTGGGCCCAGCAGCTGTGGAAGCCCTTGGTGGCCCACACTGCCCTGAGCTCGGACGGTCTGGCCAGAGGTTGACTGTTTCCTGGTGTTCAACAGAATTATTTCTTGTCACATTTTTTAAGATGTGAGCCCTGGCCAGGTAGCTCAGTTGGTTCAAGTATTGTCCCAGTACGCCAGGGTTTCGATTTGATCCCCAGTCAGGGCACATACAAGAGACGGCCAATGAAATGAATGCATCAGTAAGTAGAACAACAAATCAATCTCTCTTTCTCTTTCTCTCTCCCCTCACTTAAAAAAATGAATCAATAAAATAATTTTAAGAGGCAATGGGAGCATTGGTACTGCCCTACATAACGGGCATTGTCACCTCCTCCTGAAGGGACCTGGTTCCTTCATGTACTTTCTGGTTTTGGTTACTGTTCAATTTTTCAGTCTACAAAGTACATACTTCAGAGCAACCTGAAAGTCAGAGACCATTGCGTTACACTTGGCCACGGTTTCAGTGTGCAGTTCTAAGTCACTTCTGTTAGCACACTGTTTAAATGGCTGTTGGTCTTACGATCACAGTTACAAGGCTTCCATTGTGTTTCCACGCTTCTCACTTCCTCGGGTGGCCGATGAGTTACTGGTTGGAGTTTTCCGTAGTTGCGGTACCGAGCACGTGCTTGAAGCTGGTGCGGGATCCTGGGAGAGACTGTGTGCTTCTGTGTGGGCAGTAGGCAGCAGAGCCCCCTAGTGGAGAGGATAGGGGGATGTTGTCATACTGCCCAAGACAAAACGTCACATGTTAAGTGTTTCACAGGTGCCCCATTTTCTGCAGTAAGTTAATAAATTGAATTTTAACCCGCTTGATGTAAAAGCTGTTTCCTCGGGCTCCCCGGAGAAACCGTTTGTAATGTTCATCAAATCACCAGCAATAAGACAGCATCGAAAGCGTCTGAGAATCAGGTTGTAGCACGAGCTCTGAACCAGATCAGGACACGGGTCCGAGAACAGCCGTCTCCCAGCTACTCATTTATAGGTGACTTTTTTCTAGGTGGTATGTGAAGCCTACGTGACTTCTCCACTTGTTATTCCAGTATTTTATGCCACCAAACATAAGCGATTTGACTGGATTAGCACAGGAAGGAGCATCCTCACCCAGGAGAGGTGCGCTCTGTGCTGTCCTGCTGCGTGACTGGGGCTCTGGGACTGCAGCTCTGCCTGAAGTCGGGGACAGGGCGATGGCCGCTGACTGAGCCCTGACAAGAATGCGAGTACTGGCAACAAACCTGAGCCTACAGATAGGGTTTTCCAGCTTACTTCCAGTTACCCGCCCTCATTTCCTCGGGGTGCTCTGCAGCGTGCGCGAGCCCCTGTACGTCTGTGACGTGGCGTCACTCGGCAGTCTGGCTGAGCTGCGCCAGCCATGCTCAGACCTTGCTTGGGTGGCCGGCAGCCTGCTGGAGGCAGGTTCTCACCCCCGGCACTGCCGACATCTGGCCAGATGACCCTCTGCTGTGGGGACGTCCTGTGCACTGTGGGGTGCTGAGCAGCCTCCCTGGCCCCTGGTTGAGAATGGGTGCTTCCAGCACCCCTCACCTTGGACACCCCAGACACAGCCGCCCGGCCTTCCTCGCGTCCATGACACCCCCGGGCTTCAGGCCCCCACGAGCTTGCCTACACTCGGCGCCCGGGCCTGCTCCGGACTCCCGGGCTTGCGCTCGTTGGCCTGTAGTTGAGTGTGAGAAGTTGTTCTCAGCCGAGCTGGGGATCGTAGAATCACGCCCAACCCTTGGGAAGTGTGTGGGCTCTGGCACACTGCACCCCAGGCGTGTGGTCCCTGCCTCTTCCCCACTGTTGGAGCATGTGCTGTTCCGAGTCCTGGGTTCCGGTGCGTGTGCACTGAGGCACAGGCTGAGAGGTTCGGAGTGTGTGCAGAGCACATCACATCGGCTGTGACGGCTCCAGGTTACGGCGGGGGACTCGGCATCTCCCTGCCTTGCTGGGTGCCCCACCACCTCGAGTGGTCATCTAGCGCTTAGGGTTTGGGTACAAGTGCAGTATGGTAAAGAAATGGAAGGGAATTGTATCCAAATGTCTGTCTGTTGGCCTGTGGTCGCAGCGCATTGTGGCAACTGGATGACAGGGGCTTCTTTTCTCTCGTAGGTGACCCCAAAACCTGGCAGAACAAGTGTCTTCCTGGAGATCCAAATTACCTCGTGGGAGCCAACTGTGTTTCCGTCCTGATCGACCACTTTTAATTCTGAAGATAGAGAACTTGATTGATAATGTGAACTGGGGTTAAACTTACTAAATCTAAATGGAACGCTCCCTGAAGTATCGCCCTGTCCTTGGACTGATGCCGCGGGGTAGGGCTGAGCCGCTGTTTGAACCGGGACAGCTGGCGAGCATGCTCCGGCCGTGCGCCGAAAGCAGTGGGTTGGCGAGACGGTCGGAGACGGCTGCTTCGCGCGATCGTGCTTCCTGTGGTCACTGCCCGCTCCCTTACGATCCGTTCCAGTACAGCCAGGGCGTGCGTTGGAGTTCTGTCCTTCCAGAGCACTGGCCCGGCCGTGGCCCGGCCTGGCGCACACGCTTCATCTTACTCTGCATGAGGTAATAGGCACACATTTAAGAGGCACCTGGACTCTGTAACCAGCGTAGTGGATCTAACAGAAATGTACAGCAAGGGGAGTCAGCTTCGGGGCGGGGGCGAGTGAAGACAGTTACCGATTGTACGTGGACACGGCTTCTTAGGGAAGGACACCAAAGCATGTGACTGGTCCCGTGGCCTCTCTGGGTCCATAAATTAACCATATCACCAGACCTACTAACCAGCAGGAATGCCTTACCCTCCTGTTTTTAACTCTTAGGTCGCCCTCTGCGTGTGACCCAGTTTCTCTGGCTTCGTGTGCACCCAGATACTGAATCATGAAACAGGTTGAGTCCGTTGTGCTTCGGGTGGTTTCACAGTTTGGAATCACCCGGAAGAAAATGATGGTGTGATTTGGGGATTTTTTTTTTTCCATTATTTTTGGCAAGGGGCAGTGGTGGTTTTGTTTCCTGGCTATGCATTTGACAGTTTTGATGTTCTAAGGATGCTTGTACATAATGCGTGCATACCACTTTTGTTCTTGGTTTGTAAATTAACTTTTATAAACTTGACCTTTTTTATACATAAACAGAACCAAGTTTCTTAAAGCCACCTTTGTATTCTCTCCTGTACCTCTTGAGCCTTGAACTTTGACCTCGGCAGCAATAAAGCCGCATTTTTACGACACAAGGTCATTTTTTTAAGAAAAAGAATGCACAGAGTTGTTACATTTTTAAGTGCTGCATTTAAAAGATACAGTTCCTCAGAATTCTCTAGTTTGATTAAATTCTTGCAGAATCCTCCTCCTGCAGTTTGTGATGGGTTGCTGTGCCCTAAAGTGTATTTTTTTACTAACAGACGATTTATACGGCACGTCAGCACGACTCCTGTTTGGTCACACACCCACACTGTCCGGCAGCGGGTGTGGCTGAATTTCCTCGGCGGGTGTGGAAAAGTCTCCGATTTCTAAATCCACAGAATAAACTTTTTAAAATAAAGTGCTGGTTTGGTCTGTTCGCCCACTATTTCTAGTTCCGTGCCGCTTTGTGAGCCTGCTCTTTACATGCTGCCCACGCGAGGCCTGGTGGGGGGCGTGGCGCGTCCCCGTGGCCGGTGCATCCTGCCGCGGGCAGCGCCGTTGCCATGGAGGGGAGCGTGTCCGCCACGGTGCCGGGAGTGCGCGCGTGTGGACGTGTGTGTCTGGGCCGGAGAGCCTGGTCGTGTCCAGCTTTGTGTAACGGGCTTTCCCTCCGGTCACTCCGTGTGGGGGAAGAGGGACTTCTGATGGCTGGAACTGCCATCACGTGGCCATATGTATTCACCGTCACCCCTGCTGAGCTCCAGCCCTGGTCCTTGCTTTCTGGGAGGGGGGTCCCTGCGAGTCAGGTCTACACTGAGTGAACCCTCCCCTCGGGAGCACGCCCCTCGAGTCATTACTAGAGGCTGGAGGGAGGGTGGAGTTCTCCGGTGGATCCCTGAGCATGACTGACCCGCGTATCAGTAGTCCTTCCCAATACAGAAGAGTCTATTGCAGGGTCGCTGTGGGAGCCCGCTCGGGGTCCGCTGTGGTGAGCGTTTGCCGGCGGGAACTGGAGATAGCGATGCTAGTCAGGCCGTCCTGGGAACAGGAGCGGCCCGTGCGGTCCGGAGCCAGCACTGCACTCCCTCGGTGTGAAAGGCCGTGCAGGGAGGCCGTGAGGACGGAGTTGCGGTTCTGGGCAGTGAAGTTCATTCCTTGATAGACGTGATTCCGGCGGGTATGCGTGGTGCACAGCGGCGGGAAGAAGGCCCTACCTGGACCTCGGGGCTGTTTCATCGTGTGCCCTCGGACAGGGCTCAGCCAAGCTAGCAGGCTGGTGGGTGCGGGCCTCCGTGGGCCTCCATGGGCCTCCCTGGGCCCGTGGGTGCGGGCCTTCGTGGGCCTCCCTGGGCCCGTGGGTGCAGGCCTTCGTGGGCCTCCGTGGGCCTCTATGGGCCCATGGGACGGTGTGGGACGGCCAAGTGCAGAAGCCACGCTCTGTGAAACTGTTCCTAGGGTTCTTCCCTCTCCAGGAATCCCCTCTCTGGTGAGCGTTCACTCTGACCGCCCCAGCTATGGAGGAGGCCCTGCCAGGTGGGTTGGCGGGCGTGGAACCACAGGGCGTCATGCGTGGCTTCCTCCTGTGGCCCTAACGGGGCCGTGAACGGCTCGGGGTGAGAGAGGAAGTGGACTTGAAGTGCCCGCCATGCACGACTCCCTGAGCAGTGTTTTCCTGCGGGGCTCAGGGCAGACAGGCACCTGTGCCGGCCGGAAGTCTGCCGTGTCTGTCTGTGGAGGGGCAGGCCCCAGGGCCCGTCACTGGGCATTCAGTGCAGCACCAACCTGGGCACCACCAGGAAGGGGTTTGATCGTTGTTATGCAGGTTCCTGTGAGGTGACATTAAGATTCAGACATCTGTGTCCTCGTCTGATCACAGGAGTCTTTTTATTTATTTATATTTTTTATTCCTCACCCAAGGATACTTTTTTTTTTTTTTTTATCCTCCCCGAGGACATTTTTTCCATTTTTTTGTTTAGGTAGAGTGGGAGGGAGAGAGAGAGAGAGAGAGAGAGAGAGAAACATCGATGTGAAAGGGACACATCGAGTGGCTGCCACCCGCACGACCAACTAGGGCCGGGGACAAACTGCAACCTGGTACGTGCCCTTAGCGGGAACCAAACCCGGGTCTCTCGGGACCGCAGGCCGATGCTCTAACCACTGAGCAAAACCGGCCAGGGCCCAAGGCTACTTTTCTGTTTATCATCAGATAGAGTGGGAGGTAAGAAGGGAGGAACCGCGATGTGATAGAGCCACGTCGACTGGTTGCCTCCCGCACGACCCGACCAGGGCTGCGGACGAACAGCAACCAAGGTGTGTGCCCTTGACCAGAATTGAACCTATGGCTTGTTGGTCCGCTGGCTGATTCTCTAACCACTGAGCCAGAGCGGATCACAGGAGTCTTTAAAAAAAAAAATAAGACCTTTTGCCGCCCTGGCCAGTTTGGCTCAGCGGTTAGAGCATCAACCTCCGGACCAGAGACCCAGGTTCGATTCCGGCCTAGGACACGTCCTTGGTTGCAGTATGTCCCCAGCCCTGGTTGGGGTCGTGCAGGTGGCAGCCAGTCGATGGGTCTCTCTCATATCGATGTTTCTCTCTCTCCCTCCCACTCTGAAGATAAATGCAAAAATGTCCTCGGGCGAAGATAAAATAAAAATAAAAACAGAACTTTTTCCAGCTGATGGGAAACGGGAACCATATCAGAAAGACTGCGCGTGTGGAAGAACCGAGGTACCGTGGTTGGTGAGGGATGAAGAGGCCACGTGGGAAGGAATGTGGCGGCCCCGGGCCCCGGGCTGAGAACCAGAAAGGAAAGGAATGTTCTGTCCTGCAGCCACACACAGCTGAAGCCTGCCAGCCCCTGAGTAAGCTCGGAAGTGGAGTCTTCCCTCACGTTGCCAGATGACACCCGGCCCGGCCAGCACTTTGGTTTCAGCCTGTGAGACCCTGAGCAGAGACCGCAGCTGAGCTAATGGGCCCGACCTATAACCTGTCGTAAGCTGCTAAATTTTCAATAATCTTCGACATCCGTAGAAAGCAAAGACATCATTTCTCCTTTTTTTTTTTTAAATCCTCACCCAAGGACATTTCTGCATTTATCTTTAGATAGAGCAGCAGGGAGAGAGAGAGAAACATCGATGTGAGAGAGACACATTGAATGGCTGCCACCCACACGACCCCAACCAGGGCCGAGGACAAACTGCAACCGAGGTACGTGCCCTTAGCGGGAACCGAACCCAGGACTCTCGTCCGCAGGCCGATGCTCTAACCGCTGAGCCAAACCGGCCAGGGCCATTTCTCCTTTTCTGAAAAAGGAAATGGGGAGCAAAGCTGGGGACTTGTCTGTAAACTTGACCTTTTTTTTTAATCCTCACCCAAAGATATTTTTAAAACATTTATCTTTAGACAGTGTGGGAGAGAGGGAGGAAGAGAGAGAAACATTGATGTGAGAGAGACACATTGAATGGCTGCCACCCACACGACCCCAACCAGGGCCAGAGACAAACTGCAACCGAGGTACGTGCCCTTAGCAGGAATTGAACCAGGACTCTCTGGTCCACGGGCCAACGCTCTAACCGCTGAGCCACACCGGCCAGGGCCTGACCCTTTTTTCTTAAAATACTTTTACCTCTGAATCTTCCCTGGACACTGGATGCGGTCGTTCCAAGTCCGCGCTGTTGGCGGTATCTACATTGTTTTTTTTCAGCACTTTATTTAGATTAGACCCGGTTAACTGAGAACCGGACTTCTCACCCCTCACCATCCCTGCAGTAAAAGTTTGGTGTGCGCTCTCTACACTGGAGCCCCGGGGGTTCCTTCGTCGTTCATGTTCTGTGCCTCCCTGTTTCTGACGCGCCCCATCCGGTCCACAGTCCCTGCCAGTCAGCTCGACTTTTTCTAGTTGACGTGGCACTTTCGGGGCCTGGATGCTGCTGGGACTGATTCAGACAGAGCCCTTTGGTAATTTACTTCCCTGTTTAGCTGACTCTTTGTAAATAGTATTACTGGAATATGATTAATAGACCAGAAAATCTGCCCATTCGGAACGCACGATTACATGTCTTTTACTATCTTCACGGAGTGGTACACCTCGCAGCACGGTGATGGGGGGTGTCTCGGGGTTACAGGAGCCAACCAAAAGGGGCCCCTGTGGCCGGAGCTGCAGTGGTGAGCAACATCATAAAGCAGTACACAACCCAAAACATAACATAAATAGCTGCCAGACCATATTTATATAAATAAGTGATTTCATACAGAAGTAAATAAGCAGAGGAGAAGCTATAAATCTAAGCAGAGAATTCCAGGTGGTTTACACAGATACTCTGCCCTGAGGGGGAGCTGCCCATGGTGAGGTTCTCCCAAAGGGCACAGCGAGAGAGAAGGGTGTGGAGTGACTACAGCCCGGGCGGTCAAGGTCAACATCAGCGGCGATAGTACGTGCCCTTGATCTGATGTGTCAGAATGGCTCTTGCCGTCCGAGGTCTTCCTCCGCCAAAACCATACCCCCCCCCCCCCACACACACACACACACAATCTGATCGTGAGAAAAATATCAAATCCAACAGAAGTTCTACAAATGACCTGACCAAGAATATTTAAAACCGGCAAAGTCACCCAACGCAAAGAATGAGATGCTGTCACATTAACAGGGACTGGGATGAGGATTCAATGCACTTTGGGAGACGGATTCCAGCCAGGACAGGTGAGGTGGGCATCACTGCCCGACAGGTAATGTGGTTGGTCATTGATCACACATCACTCTCCCTGCATGGGGCGGAGCCAGGGAGGATAGACAGACCCAACCTTGTCCCTTCTGGGGCGTGACAGTGGGGAAGAACTTCCCCTTAATGAGAATCTTGTCAAACCGAATCCTTTAGAAGAAGATTGAAAAATGAGTTAGACATTGTTTTTAAGAACACGACTTCGTTGAGAAGGGAGTGACTTGCTCCAGCATCTCTTAGCAAAGACAGGTTTTGCTCAAACCTGGTACGTTACTACCTAGGTGAAATTTAAGAAAAAAAAAGGATGTTTTTAGTAAGAAATGACATTTTATTTAATAACGACCGAAGGGAGATTGCCCGAAGAACAAAAAGCACCCTTTGAAGATTTAATTAATGTATAAGAATGTTGAAAGTATTAATAGCTCATCATTTACACAGCAGCGTGTTAAACTTCTGAGGAGAATCAGTTATAGGTGCCCTGGGGGGTTATTAACAAGAATGCATGTTGGAACATTTATAAAGCACACTTATCAGAGTGTTTTCTGAATATTTGGCTCCCTTAAACATGTCTTTGAACATCCCGTTAGATCAGTCGTGCAAAAGTGTCCTTCTTTCTTCCTTTCCTCCAAATGGATTTTTCCGGAAAATTGGGTGGTTCTGGAATG